TTTTCTTCTTCCCTGATCCTTTCTAAATAATAAAGATAAATAGCATAGCAACATCTTAGTACTATAACTATCATTTATCACTACAAACCTAATTGATTAAATTCATTAACGTAATGAAAATTTCATTAACAATACGGCGACCGTTAAAACATCCTAAATGAATAATTATTCAGGCCCGGCTAATTAAGTATACTTTACGACCCAATTTAAATTTATTTTCGGCACGTTTTTTTCCAGCGTCAATTATGATATGATTTACGTTTGTGAAATTTTCTTGAATGAAATCACTGGTCTCCTCATTTCCACGATTCCGATGATAATAGGAGTCGAGTAAAACAACGATCGTGTTTATGAATAGTGTGAGAAAAGCACCGTAGTTTATCTCACGGAAATGATCTTGTCACAATAACTCCACATCATTTTTGCCTGTTTAAAATTTCATAAAGTAGAATACAAGAAAACATAGATCACGACTCTCACTACTGTTCGCGTTGCGCACGCCGCGTTCTCTACAAAATAAATAATAAAACGCGCCGCGTTTTTATTTTTTTCGCTCCGTACTTTCCGTGTAACCATCGTTTGTTACCTTCTTCTTGTTGTTGTTGTTCTTGTGTTGGTTCGCGTTTAGCCGCACAGAAAACGTGGCAGTCATCCGACATTCTCGTGTTGCACTTTCCGGATATGAATCTTAACTGTCCGCAGAATCGCGAATGGAGCAAAACACCAACGCGAACTTAATTATTAACTTCGAAATGTTGGCTCGCAATTAATGAATTTCATTAATTGGCCGATCCCATCTGCGACGCCGCAATTATTTCCGACTGTTAGGTAACGCAGCACGTCGTAAACTAGATCTTCACGCTGAGGGTACAATGACATGACATGGGGAGAAAGAAGTTGTTGTAGCACTTCGACCATGATGAACTTTACTAATTAACTTCGACCGTATCCAAGACGGGCAGTCTTTGAAATTGTAAAAGTTAACACATCCGGAGCTGACATATGAAATTACACGTGTATCCAAGCGAGTTATTGTTAATTCACTTGGTTACGTCTAAAGCATGCAGCGTTTAAATTTGTTTAGAGCAGCGTTTCTCAACATTTTTGCTATGTGACTCATATTTCAAGAAGCACCTCAACAAATTTTCATGAAAAATTCTACTTGGTCTACAAGGTGACTACAAGATCCAACACATCCAGAGATGACATGCAGCTTTAAAGAAATAATGTTCAATTACAGTATTTCGTTTCAAAAGAAATAGTTTTTGATCAACTATAAACTCAATTCAATTGAAGTACGATTTTCAAACTCGATCGAAAGAAAAGTCTTTTCTTTATAATTCTATTTAAAAAAAACATCGTTGAATGTAATTTAATAATAATTTAATAATAATAATGATAATTACAACAGACTAGGTTTCTATGTAGAAATTTAGCAACTAAAGCAAGGTTTAGAACAATAGTACATGATCAAATTAAGATTAAACCAGACCTGAGACAAATCGTTCTTCAGGAAATATAAAATTAAACTTCATTCACATACAAATGCAAATATAGGCAGTTCCGTTCCTACAAAAGCCGGCGCAAATCGAATCGGCGTAAAATGAACCCAGATTTACAGTAGGTAGATATAGGTCTACTTGTAGTATATTCTCAAACAACGTAAACCGAATTATTATAAATAACTATAAAAAAAATACATAACACAAAATTCAATCAAAAATCATAAAACAAAAATCAATCATTTTTAAAACTTAAATTTCTATACTGTTCTTTACAATTTTTGTAATTTATTTGTATTCATTTTTAGTGAGATTTCGATGTGCAATTAATATTTTAGTAATACAATATATTAGAATTTGCTTAGATCAGCTCAACATGTTTCAATAAGCACCTCACAACAAATTTTCGTGAAAAATGGTTCTACGTGATTCCAAAATCCAATTAATCCAAAGACTCAAACCAAAATGCTATATTGAATCACAACATATACTTTACTTTACAATATTATCACTTTTCGATTACATAATTTGTCTAATTCAAAAAATTAATCCGAAGATCTTTTTAGATCTGGTAACCGTTTGCATTTTTTGTTTTTATATACAATATAAAGTAATGTAACTAGTGTAATATTATTTAATTTTCTTTACAAATAATAAAAGTGTAAATATATCAATTTCAATTTTAATGTATAATATTATGAAAGGTAAAGCGATTCTGGAATGATTATTTTTGAAGAATGTTAATATTAAATAAAAATGATGTTGTTACGGTCACTACAGATATGTATTAAAGTAAAATATAAGCATTTTCATACCAGGAAAAGTACGTAACTGTAAATAATAATAATAAAATTATTATAATACCAGGAGGTAAATGGTTTTAAAGAAAAGGTGTACCGAACTGAATGCAGGGAATTCGCTAATAACGTGTGCTGCGGCATAAATGGTTTCGCATGTCGACTAATTAATACGAATTTTTCGTTAGATTTTCTTAGTAATTGGGAATAAAAAGAGATGTAATGTATGTGATTATTTATCTGGGGCAGAGGAAATCTTGGCCGAATGAGTCGTGAATAACGAGACATGCAAATGACTGAAGGCAAGTCCAACATTAATAACCGTGTTATGGCTGTGCTCAAAGCGCAGTGTGTATGGGATAATATTGTCAATTATGGTATGTTATTAATGGCCTTAAGACCAGAAAGCAAACGTAAGTCGACGTTAATGACAAATTTAATTTAATTAGCACCGCGTTCCGCTCGTAAACCCAATGCATATTTCGATTGCATCAACCCAAAAAAACAGATTGAAATTGTTCATAATTCGATTGTAATTATTTCTCCACGTACGTTACGAGACATTACGTAAATGCAACGAAATCGAAAATATAATTTGTGTCATTAGCAACAGCTTTTTTTCTCTATACAATAAATTTATATTTATTTAAAAGTCATCCAAATAAGTCAACATCATTATTTATTAATCACAATAATAAACGAGAAAATTATTAAGTACAGTACAAAATAACTACATTACATGTTAGAAAGTAATATTTGAAATGCAATCACAATAATTCATTATCACGTTTAATAAAAGATCTGAGTTTAACAACATATTGGAATGATGATATAAGAATAATCATGCAAAATCATCTTGTGAAGCTCGAAGATAAATTTAAAGGAATTTCTTAATTCTCGGTTTCGAGGAACATCGTAATTCACAGAAAACATGATGTATGTATTCTGAGAAAAAATTATGTTATTTTTGGTTATTGCATGTTAAACCCATAAATCTGAAGCTGTAATTCGAACACTGCTATTTCCACTAACATGACTTTTTGAGTTAACATTCTGATATTTGTAGCATAGTCATTGGTAGTTGGTGACAATAATAATAGATGAGACAAAGAGCCAACCAATTCCTTAAAGCACAGTTTCCATACATATTAATTAGCTATATAAATTATATATCAATTATAATTAATGTTTTCAGTAATATATTTTGTTTATTTATGTGTATATAATATTAATAACATTTACCTGTTCTATACATTTAAGCAATACTCAAATTTTATTTGTAGCCTATAAATCTATCAATCAATATTTAATGACTTTATTAAATATCTTATAGTTATAAGAACCTTTAAATATATTGAGGCAAAATACTAGCTGCACGTGCAGAATTAATTCACTTTATCCATTAAAACTTGATTCCTTGATCTTGAGAAATATATCATAAACATTTACTTAGTTTTCTATATCGATATAGTTATATTATCATCATCATATATAAATAGAAATATATAAGTAATTCTCTTATTAATTCACGTTTTTGTTATTGCCTAATATATATATTAAAATTATTAAATTAATGTTAAGATTATTTGTAACTGAAACGTATAACAGTAGTAGTAGTATTCTATTTTATTCCTAGTCATATTTTTTAATAATTAACTGAAATTTAATTTAAATCTAACTGTACATTAAATTTTATCATTCATTTAAAAATGATCTTTTAATTTATTATCAACTATATATGTTAATTTGTATGTATGTTTTAATATTATTTTAATATTTATAACCTTGATAAAGCAAAAAAAAAGTATTTGTTGCGTTATCAAACGACTTGTGTAACTTGAACTATATAAATAAAATTATCATTGCATTGGCTCAAAATTAACTGAGATGTATTCTGAAGATTGTTGAATCCGATATCCATCCTATCATGATTATTCAAACGTGCAAGCATATGGGAATAAATAGTTGCGAGCGTCTTTTGTGTTTTGTGATGGTAGAAACGGAATGTTTGAGCAGAAAGTGTTGGTGATTCTGGCATGCAGACTTGGTATATAAATATAATAATTGGATTGGCGTTCGGTGAAAAGTAAATGATGCGAACCAGGCAAAGAGATGATGGAGAAGAGTGCCAAAGCAGAATTTAGTCTGATAACCTGCGTCTAGCATAAACATGTTATGGTAGTGACCTTTTGGTCGGGCGGGGGCCCTAATTATGGGGTCAAGTGCGGCGTGCTCTTACACGCCCCCCGATCCACTGTGAGAACCTTACCGTCCCCCGAAGGACAAAACTCAGAAAGGGAAATTATGCTGCTGCTCTCACTCTTCCATCCTCACATATATATTTACGATTCGACGTTTCGGTTTTCGAAAGAAAACCGGGCCCAACGTACGATAATAATAAATTTAATTCGAGGCTCGTTTTTAATTAGAACGTTAATCCGACGTGACTTTGAAATTAAAGCCGATTTATCGCCTCCGCAACAGCCGCTCGTACATCTCGATAACACCACGATTGTTTTGACTCGAGCCTGCAAATCGATTCCACATCGTCATTACTATTACCATCACCACCATCGTCATTACTATTACCATCACCACCATCGTCGTGACTCTAAAAATCTGCTTCCCTATTTACAGAAAGGCCAATCAAGCCAATTAATTAACGTTTTGCTTAATTCGATTAACAGCGACGATTTGCTTAATATTCTAAATTAGTCTTTTACTGCCCGGCGATGGATTTGGACGAGATTTTACCAGACGTAGGTGAATTTGGCCGTTACCAAAAGCTAGTCCTTTGGTTCGTCCTACTGCCCGGCGTCTTCCCTTGCGGTTTCCACGCTTACAACCAGCTATTCATGTCCGCAACTCCAGATCATTGGTGTTCCGTCCCAGAATTGAATCACCTAGATCCGGATGTGGCCAAAAACATAAGGTACAAACCACAAATTACAAACATTCCAAACTCAATAATATTTGCAGCATACCTCTAGAAACCAAAGACGGTTCTCTGAAATATAGTCAATGCTTCATGTACGAGAGGAACTATAACGAAGTGTTGCAACTCGACAACTTGAGCTACTTCAGCGCAGAAGATAATATAATTCCTTGTAAAAGCGGCTGGTCTTTCGACCATTCCCTGTACAAAAGCACAGTCGTTACCCAAGTAATGTAGTCGTGTTTTTACGATCACATTTCCATACCTCATTTCGTTTATTTTTTAGTGGAAATTGGTCTGTGATAAAGATCTCTCCGCGACTCTGGCTTTGGTTCTTCTCGGAGCTGGTGGACTCGTCGGCAATTACATTTTCGGTTACGTGCAAGATGGACTAGGAAGAAAGCCTGCTTTCTTCATATACTTATTCGTACAATGCACCTTCGGTATCGCAACAGCTTTCGCGCAAAACTTCTTCATGTGGACTGTTTTTCGCGTAGGAGTCGGATTCACAGTACCAGCAATATTAGGCACTCCATATGTCCTGGCAATCGAATTGGTGGGTCCTAATCATCGCACTCTGGTCACCATCCTCATAAACATAGCCTACTCTCTATCACTAGTTTTCTTAGCCATCATAGTATGGTTGATAAGAGACTGGAGAATACTAGCCTTAACAACGACAATTCCATTCGTCTTGCTTTTTTTCAACTGGTGGCTTCTACCGGAGAGTCCGAGATGGTTGTTGGCTCAAGGAAAATTCTTCGAAGCAGAGAAAATCCTCAACAAAATGGCCAAGTATTCATACATAATAAAATCAATAATATTTAGTTTATTTATAATTATTTTTAGAACAAATGGAAAATTACTACCAGCTAATTACATGGCCGATTTAAAAGTGAAAATCGACCAAGAGAAACTGGAAACAGACAATACAAGAAAGTATGGAATAAGCGATTTGTTCCGAACTAAAAATCTCAGATGGAAAACTATTATCATTACATTTATTTGGTTCACAAATACAAGTGTTTACGTTGGATTATCATATTACGCTCCATCGTTAGGTGGAGATGAATTTTTAAACTTTTTCTTAGCCGGAGCTGTAGAATTACCAACCTATTTATTTCTTTGGCCTTCCTTGGAACGTTGGGGTAGAAGATGGGCTCTATGCGTTAGTATGATTATTGGTGGATCCGCCTGTCTGGCTACGTTTTTGGTACAAACAGGTGAACAAGAAAACATTTAAAATTAGCTAGTAAATGTATATCGTTTAATTTTAAGATACGGTTTTGACAATAGCTTTGTATTGCATTGGTAAAATGGGGATCTCATCATCATTCGTGGTCCTACCTCTGATGGCTTCGGAATTATATCCAACGGTCGTGCGAGGCCTTGGAATGAGTATCAGTTCGGTTGTGGGAATGATAGGCCCAATAATTATACCCTTAGTGAATTACTTAGTAAAAACTTACAAATTCCTATCAACTATATTTGATAAAGTATATACTTTTTAGGGTTCCGATATGCTTACTCTACCTTTAATTATAATGGGATCGATGCTGGTGATGGGTGGTATATGCTCTTTGCTTCTACCTGAGACGCTGGACCAACATTTACCACAAACCCTTGAAGACGCCGAGAAGTATGGATTAACTTATTTCGAATGCTGCACGCCTCCGCAACGCCCCAACTTTCAAGTTTGACCTTATCGAAATTACCGATAAGATTATGTATATGTTTTTTTTATATTTCTTAAACGCTTATCATTTTTGCGAGATGTTAGAACATCTAATAAATAAAACCTATTAAAATATCTACTCTATTAAAATGTTACTCGTTGTAATCGCATTAGTAGTAGCGTTCGTTAGCTTCGTATACTGGAAAATTAAACATGAAGAACATAATAATAAAGTATTTGAAATTTACTCGCAACCTGGGATATTATTCTACGCCAAATTCCTTATATTTTATTTACTTCTAAAACTATATGAATTGAATAAACACAAGAAGGAAAATTTAGAAGATTTTGATAGGCTGCTTCCGCTCTCCGAACACAACAAGGTAATACAAGTAAATTTAATTAGTGTAATTATTCAATTACAGCTTTATAGGCATTTGATGCTGTTTCCTTTCAAGCGGTGAATCCCGAAGGACATTATTTATATGGCGGCATAGAAAGACGTCATCTCGCTAAAATCAATGGATTTTTCTATCTTGTCGTAAGTTCCATTCATATTATCTTTAAATCAATTAGAATTTCACTTTCTCTTTTAATTGCTAGACTCCAGAATTCGGCTTGCTTCGAAGCCCTCATATACCAAAAACCAACTTGGATGCAGATACCGATATGCTGCATGACATGAAATCGTATAACGGTGGTGGAATTCGTTTCAGTCCTATTAAACCTATGAAATTATGGAGACTTTCTTATAATGGAAAGATGTTAGATCAAAATGAAAATAGTGTGGATGTCGTTGTGGAGGCAGATTGGAATTCGAATCTTCCTTGTTTCATGTTCGATAGTGATATGAGCAGAGTGGCGATAGCAAGAGCTGCAGCTGCAGAAACGTGGACGGAAGATTTTTTTAAGAATATAAAAAAGTAATAATAATTAATGTTCATTCAGATATTATAATGAGAATCCTTTCAGAGCGCATCAATCGCATTACGAACAGATGGGATACTTAAAAGGATTTTTCTCAATCAACGGAAAGAAGTATGAGATAAAAATGGACGCATCTAGAAATCATAGTTTTGGTATTATTGAATAAAAATAAGTATAATATATGTTTTAATTTTAATATTTTAGGGCATAAACGAGATTGGCTTCTGATGCACAGATACATTTTTCACTTTATATACCTGGAGGATAATACTAGAATCTGTGTCGGCGTTTTAAGTCACCCCTGTACCACTTCTCACATGGAGGTGGGTTATGTGATCTCGCCTAAAAAGGCAATTAATCCAATAGAAAAATGCGATTTACGTTTGTACCAACATGGAGAAAATGGAACACCTGGTAAAAACATAGCGTTCAGAATTTGGACTAGAAAAAAGGAATACTTGATCAAAGCAAAAACTATATACGAAAACAATCATTTCATTGGAAACGATTGCGAGGCTAGAATTGTGTTCAAATGTGTCGACTTCGAGGTAAACGGGATGAAAGGTAGAGGATTTGCAGAATGGCAATACAATAATCAAAATTTTTTATAAAATATGGATGCACAAACTAAAACCTATTTATATAAAACTGTATGGATATGGTATATAACGATATGATATATAATATAATAAAGAATAACTATTTTAAGTCAAAGTCACAGCCGACATAACACTTTCTATCAATGCATAAGGTAATCAATCTGCGCCAGTAGTTATCGATCCACAACAAATACGGATTACCTACGATCAAAGTCAAGCATTGAGCCCTCGTTATAGCGACGTTCTGTCGTTTTGGATTGGAAACGAAACCGACAGAGTGTATTTTATCCAAACTTAGCATTTCCGTCTTGGAGCGAACGGTAGATAAAATTATAATTTTGTATTCCTGTCCTTGGAACTCCTCCACGGTTCCAATCTTCGGCAAGTCCAAGTCTGCTTCCCTCAAAACTTTAGCAATTTCCTTGACTTGCTTCAAGTATGGAGATATGATCCCGATATCTTCAGCTTTGGCACCGTTCTTATATAATTCATTTATATAGTAAAACACTTGACACGCTTCATCTGGATTCAACCAGGATGGCGAGTCGTTTTCCTGATAATTGATACCCTTGGTACCATGGAACACCAAGCAAGGCACTTTACCATCCTTATCCACTGGTAATATATGTCTAAATTGCTCCAGGAATCTTACTTCTTTGCTATCAACATCAGAAATCTAAAAAATAAAACATATTACAGAACTTCTCAATAAATGAATCCCCGGGCATGTAAATTAGGCAACTTCAACTACTGTATAAATTTAAAACAAAATATGTAATAATTACCATAGCTTTTAGTTCCGAGTGATAGAATAGTGTGTTTGGAATATCTAGCATTCCCGGCAAAGAACGATAATTATAGATCAATTTTGTAACCAATCTTGGATCAAATCCACTGGTCTTTGGGAATCCAATTATATCCCTAGTATAAGGAAACTTAGCTAATAATCTTACTAAAAATGATTCTGTCAATCCAAATTCTTGAGCATATTTAGATAAAATTATTGGGCCCAATTGCATTGGATCACCTGTAAAATAAATTATTATTACTAATATAATAATAACATGGAAATATTAATTAATTTACCTGCTAAAATAACTTGTCCTTCGTCAACAGATATGAGAGATAACTGAATCATAGCCTCTGGTTCAGTTGCCTGACCAGCTTCATCTATGATACAATGTGTGAAGTGTCCAGGCTTAAATTTCATTGAATTTAAAACTCCAAATGAAGAGCAAGTTCCAATAGTGAGCCTATGCCTCCCTAGTATGGAACTTGAAAAACCTGTGTAAACAAATCAATTAGAACAGGGCTCTAAATAATATAATTTAATAAATACTTGATATTTTCCCTTTGGAATGAATGAATTCCTCATTTCCAATTGTGTGCTCCTTGGCAATGCTTCCTCCCATACAATAAGGTAGCAACGATTCTGGAATCGAATCATTGACCACAACGTTGTAAGAAACAAGCCTCACCAATTCTCCAGGTTTAAAAATATTCAAGCTTATCAATTTCAGAGCGATTAAGTTTGCTGCGCTATTCGATGGCGTTCCAACAAGAATCCTCGAATGTGGAATCATTCTCAATATCTGGATAATACTTTCAACGATAGTCACCGTTTTTCCGGTTCCAGGTGGTCCAAAAATAATATAAGGAAGAGGTCTAGCTTCTCCCAGTAGAATATTCCTGACCGCTTCCTTCTGGTAATAGTTCAAAGACTTATCAAACCATTCCAATTTCAAACAATCAGTTTGAGCGTCCAAATACTGCTGCTTAATCAATTTAACTAACTGACTGTTAGTTTTCTGCTTACATTCCATGGTTTCTTCATATTTATCATAAACAAAGTCGCATTGAGGCGGTTTAGAAATAACTTTATTTGGGAACAGAAAGTGATCTCCAAGATTTTTAGCGGCGCAATTTATAGCATGGTGAATTTTCTTCAGTTGCGATCTTGATTGAACTGCAACTATCGAGTATTCTTGGTTATTGTACTGCTGATGGAACAATTCGGAAAACTTCAAATAAACGTGCTTCGCCGTTACTCTATAAATCATGCTTTCGTATTTGACTTCAGTAAGATTTGGCACTGGAATTGCCACAATTTTATCTCCAACAATCAGGGATGGTCTTCTCTCCGACAAATTTTCAATTTCCAGCATCAAATATTCGCCATTCTTAATGAACAACGCTCTCTCTTGATCAAACTTTTGAATGGCTATCTTCAGATGAGCTTCCTCCAAGTAGTAAAGTAAATGAAAACGCTCCTCGTAACTTTCGAACGTTATGTCTTGTTTCAAGCACGTCTTTTCAACCAATTTGTTGTATGCAGTTTTAAATGACTGTTCATATACAATGTCCATTAGAAACTTGGGTATCTTGTATTCCTGCAGCTTATTAATGAACCTTTTTGGTTTGTTCATATATTGACCTCTAATGGTATTTTGTGTTTCAGTATTTATTGTTCTAACGGGATTTGGTCTTTTATAAACGTTAGTTTTCTGCGGGTTTGATGAAGTATTCAGTTGCATTTTTATATATCTTCCAATCTTAAATTCAGTAAAATCAAAAATGATCAACTCTCTACTTTCCCCGTAAAAGCGCATAGTGCAGGAAAAGCTTAATTGTACATTATCCATTTTATTAATAGTAATGCTGTTTGTTAACTGTGGTTCAAGTAATGTTATATGAGGATTTTCAACAAACACAATGTCTTTTAATACTACATCAGTGTTTTGACAATTTTCAATAACAACATTAAATGCACACACTTCATTCATTTTAGTTGCCTTCAGAAAAATACCATCAGTTATTTTAATTCCATCATGATCAACATACAAATCTTCATTTACAGACTCATTCATTTTATACTTTGATTTGAAACAATCTACTAATACTTTTATAGCTCTCCAAGAGTAACTTAACTGACTACTCTCAATAACTTCAGCTGAAATATTATCACCAACTCTTGGCACATACCCATCATACAATGCAGACATATCAAAAAATGTATCTCTATTAATACTACCACTATTCTCACCAACATGGGTTATTCTACCCTTTATAATTTTAATACGAGATGGGTATATCTTCATTATTTCCAATATCTGGCCCGAAAGCAAATCAATGGATTCAACATCTACCTGAACTTTTACATCAATACTCAACCAATCTCCAACGATTGGAACAAAGTCTGAAGAAGCTGAATTCAAATCAATTGTTAAATCTGTAGTATTCTTATTTGCAACATGTGCAATGATATTTCTTCCTTCTCTTTTGATTACCTTTCCTATAAGAGTTTTAGTGGACCAGGAAGATTTTGATTCCTGTATATTAGTTGATTCCCATTCATCAAAAAATAATTTAACATTTGATATTTTAAGTTCATTGTTATCTTTATATAAATTATAGGATACTCTTGATCCTATTGGAACATTTTCAGTAAATTTATGCTTGTATACATTATCAATGTAATAGAAACCATCAGCAAAATGGGAGATATGCCCAACTTTTAATGTAGAATAATTGTTTGTTAATACCTCTGTTTCCGTTTCTTTCTGATCCGTACTATTTGATGCCTGATCTTCAACTTGATCCAATTCACTGTATATTTCTTCTAAATTAGGATTTGTTCTTCTCGAAAAGAAAGCTTTTACTGTGAAACTTAATAAATTCAACATGTTGGCGAATACGAAACTGCTTTACTGTGTTACATGTCCGGCAAATAAACACCTTCGCTCAGTTTATACAGTTTATATTATTGTACTTATCGTCTGTATAGTGTTTGTTTTACAAACAAATCGTCAGAATATAATACTTGAATTATCAGCACTGTACATGACTCTGCATTTTGAAACGCAATCTTTAACAAAACAATTCAATAAGATATACAAAGACCGTCTGAAACTAGCAAACTTTGCAAAATTTTAAGACTTTTTATACATGGCTTCCAAAATTGCTACCAACAGAACTGAATCAGTACTAGAATAAAAAAAATATATACAATATTTATTATTAAAATTATGTTATAAATTTATTTTTCGTATATATAATTATATGTATGATATTGTTTAAAGTTAAACAATTATTAATATAAACATTCAAAAAATCTTCTTTATGTTGGCATTCCTGTTGATTTTTTTGACAATTTTGACATTTGTGTTGAATTGTGTGGGCCGTTGGTTGTTTTGGCGGTTTTGCTGCAGTTTGTTGTTTGTTGGTTTCTTGTGTTTGTGGTTCCAACAATAATTGAAGATGCCTCCGAAAAAACGTGATAAAGAGTCGGATCATTCAAAAAATCCAAGGATGGATCACATTCAAGCTGACCATGAGTTATTTCTGCAAGCATTTGAAAGTATGTATCTTTGTAAATGATTAGTTGATGCTTATAACATGGGTTGTATTGTTTTAGAGCCCACACAAATCTACAGATATTTGAGGACAAGAAATATGTGTTCGGTAAGTTAGTCTGTGTAGAGAAATTAAGAATTTTTATTAATATTTTTGTTATTAGCCAATATTTCTGAACAGAACATTGGCTTACATGAAGTATCGGATGTCAAGAACTCACAAATGTAGACAAGGATTTAAAGTTGACTCAATATTAGAAAAAGTGACTTCAAAGAGTAAAGACTTCCCTACAATACTGCCAGGTTATATGAATCTAACCTTCCTTGGATTTTATGACAAGAACATTGATCCGAATGTGGGCTCCGTACAAATAGAGACAGTATTAGTCAAGATAAGTCATAAGAAGAGAAAAGACAGCTCATCTCCTTTAATGGAGGCATCATTTGGAGTATCTGAAGTACAAGTAAACCCCTCTGACAATAATCTCTCTATAATGGCACCGTCAGTGAGTGTTCCAACAGAGGCTTTTAGTTTATCTGGAGGACCTTTGGCTAAATCATATGTGTTGCTTCTAAGAGTCAAGCACATTATTACAAACGTCATTTTATGCATGGAAAATAATGATGAACCAGCTAGTAAAAAACGTAAATCAATTAGTAGCACTGATTCAAGTAAAATTTATGCATCAGAGTTAGTAGTTTATGATAAACATAATAGATGCTTGTTAACAGATGCCGATTATGAGTTAACATTGCAAGAAGTAAATGGCAATACTAAAAATTCTCCCAAGAAGCATTCCACTTGGGAAAGCAAAGATGATCTTACAGACTGCTGTGGTAATTTGGATGCATTTATAAAAGGGCCAAGTGTAAAATTCAAATTGAATTGGTCTCAGAAGCCATCGGAAAAATTTGTAGAACGACCTGCTCCATACCCAACAAATGAAACTAATGAAAACTCTGTGCTTCCGAGTGGTAATCAAGAAAAATTACAGATTGTTTATCAATTTGTTTACAATAACAATTCTCGCCAGCAGACTGAGGCCTGTGAAGATCTACACTGCCCCTGGTGCAGCTTGAAGAGTAACGAATTATACACGTTGCTCAAACATTTGAAGTTGTGCCACTCAAGATTCACCTTCACGTATGTGCCTATATCGGTTGGTGCGAGAATTGATGTAGCAATTAATGAATTATACGATGGATCTTATACTGGTTCACCGCATGATCTAATAACACAACCTTCGGTATGTGCATTTTCTAGGAATGGACCAGTCAGAAGGGCTAGCGTCACACATATCTTAGTTTGCCATCCAAAGAGACTGAAACCTAGTCTTTCAGAATTTTTAGAATTAGACGACTGTGAGTACGATGGACAAAGACCGTTTATTACAGGACATAATAGGTTGTACCACCATACAGCAACATGTCTGCCGATTTATCCCAAAGAAATGGACATGGACTCAGAGGGTGAAAACGATCCAGAGTGGTTGCGCAGTAAAACCATGCAGATGATTGATGAATTCACCGATGTGAATGAAGGTGAAAAAGAATTGATGAAAATGTGGAATCTGCATGTTATGAAATGTGGATTTGTAGGAGACTGTCAGATTCCCTTGGCATGCACTATGTTCGTTGAACACAAAGGCAAAGAGTTGCTTTTGAAGAATCTCTATAGGAATTTCGTGGTGCATATGAGCAGTCTATTTGACTTTGGATTGGTAAGCGCAGTCTGTCTTTACACGACACTCAAAAAATTGCAAGAAATGGTTGGTGAAACTGGAGCAATTCGCACAGTCCTGAGGGAGTCGCGTGAAGCACAAATGGATAATTGGCATAAATGCGGAATCATGAGCCCTACTGTAGACAAACCCTGTTCTAGTAAAACGCCCACGAGTAGAAAAAACATTGGAATCCAAAGGAGGAAAGGCACACCTACCCCCGGAGACGCACCCATTCGAAGAAAATCTTTGGGAAATGAAACAACCAGAAAACGGTTATCTTTGTCTCTAAAGAAAACTGAGAATAGTAATTGATATTGTTAAAGTGCCTTGTTTTTATTTATTTTATATATTTTATCATATTTTGTAAAAATTCGTATGTCTTTTTGCTAAAATATTATGAACGGCGACTTTAGCCAAAAACGATTTGCGAATTTATCATATATATTTAGTTATGATATTGAATTCAGTTCGATTTTCTTTTAATATCACTAACTCAGGTTGAATTTTGCACACCCGCGAGGAACATAATAATGAAATAAGATGAGTCTAGTCAGAGTTCAAAGATCAAACTTGACTCTTATTTTCAATTGAAATTTTTTTTTACAAAACTGCCTTAATATACATAAATATATCTTATGACACTAGGATATTTGATATAATCAGTACGTTTGATACGTTATAATCGAATTTATGATTTTAATTTGCACTTTTTTCAATATTTTTAGTTATTAATAAAATACATTGTTCATGATCAAGTTTATATTTTTATTTATTTATTTTTTTATGTAGTAGCCACATTCGATTGTAGTGCAATTAGAATTTTGTTTCTGTTTTCTTTTTTGACGAGCTAGTGATTTAATTTTTTTCCCGAAATTTTTTTCGAATTTCACGTTGACATTTAAAACAAAAAATAGTAATATGTCCGTACCGGAAAATAGCGACGAGAACAAAATTAATGCAGGTGAACTAATTTGCTTTAATAATCTACGTCGATGGAATTCACGACACCTTTCTGATTTATAGTTGATAATTCTGAGGCAAAAACTGAGGGCGTTTCAAGAATCAAATGTTCACGACCGACCACGTCAACTCACATTGTCACAGAAAATATTGCCACTTTACCTAAATCCTCTAAAAACAATGATGACTATGTAAAGGTAATGGATAATGTATTGTTGCGTAACGTTGTTAAAGCTGCAATCGATTTGTTAGTTATTTTAAATGTTTGTGAATATTTGATTCGTTGTATTACAGGCGCATAACGAGCTTGTAAACAATTTGGAAGGCTTAGTATTGTCCACTGAGAGTTCCGATGACAACATCTGCAAGTCTGATTGGTTAAAGGCAAGGGATAGTCTAGAAAATTTAAATTGCACTAAACCGGATAAGGTTCTATTCTTCCCATTGCAGTATTAATCTATAAAATATACCATTTATTCTTAAAGGTAGAAGTGATCAATTCGAAATCGTCATCCTGCACATCCTCTAAAGAAAAGTGCTTGATCGCCGAATCTCCGCATTCCGAGTCTCTTATTGGAGCGACCAAAAATTGCGCCCACTCCGTCTCCAAAGTGCTTTCCTGGGACCCATGGGAGAAACTGGGCAGAAAGAACAAGAAGGAAAGTAAGGTAAGGACGATCGTTCAGATCCAATTGTGAATTTCGAATTTGGAATTGACTTTTAGAGGAGAAAATTTGAACAGGCCAAAGAGAATAGTACACCCCAGACGTCGCAGGATCAGAACAGGAAGGACTTCAAGTCCGGAGATGAGGTGCGGCCCGCGACGGATGCAGATGCGGAAGAGATAATCGAGAGCTACGAGTACCAGCCTTATCAGCCGAAAAACTCGAGATCGGTGGAGTTTACAAATAAAGTGATGGTCGTTTACATAAAGGAAGATAAGGTGATAGGTGAGGCGATCGAGCCTCTAAAGAAGGAGTTGGATCAGCAGATTCGGAATAAAGAGATGAGGAAAGGCCACATGGCAGACATTGGATTCGGGAAGAAGAGGCTAGTTAACGATTGGCACATGAAAAAGTAGACGCGCCGACCATTGAAACGAAAGAATAATAAACTTTAGCCGATCCGTAAATTAAGAATTATCAATTTTGATTTTAATTCTTTTTAGTCCTGTGGTGAAATATTACTATTTTTATAACACTTTAAATTTGATAATAAATTTGTTTCGTTTTGTATGAATACCAAAAAGAAAACAACAATTACGCTATAAATAGTTTAATCAGCACAATGAATAATTCATTGCGCCGATATCTTCCATAGGACGAGTTCCTTGACACGGTCATAATTGAAATACTGAGGGAAATCTGTCGGCAGCAATTCCAATTTCACGTTCTTCATTTCCAGAAGACGATCTTTGAAGTACTCGTAGCATGGGGCGCAAGTCTCGCAATCGGCCATAGTGAACACGAATCGTTTTTCTAATGCCACAAGAACGCACAGATTTTTATCAGTTACTTTGGAAAGTAACTTTTCCACAGTTTGGACAAAAGCGTCTGTCAATCTGTCATCGTACACAACTAAAACAAGCCAAATACTTTTAAAACAAGTTTATCCAATAAACATACGAGTACTTACCATCAGCCGCTATTATTAGTTTTACTTTAGGTAATACCTCAACTATCTCATCTGAAAGATCTTTGGTGAAATCTAGTTCAGCAACTTTCACCGGGTGATTTAACATTGAGTTGTTTCTCGCCACATTGCCTTCAATCAATTTTAATAATCCTCCGATATTAATATCTGTAAAACGAAAAGATTATCAATAAATAATAAAAGAACAAACTATTGTTATGTTTTCAAGAAATCAATTAAAACTTAGTTAAATATATAATCTTAGTCTATGATGTTAAACCCATCTAGATATAATTTTTCAAAGCAAATATTGAATATTCTAAATAGAAATACATATGACAATCTTATTTTTTATGTGAAAACATGTTCAGACTGGTAATCTTGTGCCTTTAATTAATGTTATTTTTCTATATATTAGAATATAGTAGTTAATTAGCAATACCATATATATCTACTGTAAATGTATCCTCAATTAGTACCTGCATGTCCTTGGAATTTGTCAATATGTATCTATATCCCAATAATAACATATTAACTGTTATGTGGATAAAAGCAATATCATATAATTATTAATATATCAGCATGACACATCAAATATATTCACATCTTCTGAGCTATTTACTTCGATATTCTAAATAATTATACTACTTCAAAGCTTTTTTTTATTCTAGTGGAAACAGCCAAAAAGACATATTCATTATATTCATTCATTAACTATATATACATTATATAAATATATAACTTAAATAATAATTTGACTGCGGTCGGTAGGCCATAATATAAGTGTTTTCATGTATGTAATAAATTAATAATATGATAACTATGATGTGTATTATTAACAATTTTAGAAATTTTATCAATAATTAATATAAATTGTAGTAATCCTGTAATCTTTACATTCTTCATAATAATAATTTTATTGTCAATCTTCAAGTTTTATTACTGGAATCATAAAACCGAAATTTCGCTTTGTAGTTTACCTGTGCAAATAACTGGTTTGTATATTCCTGCTACAATGCTTGTAAGCCCGACTCCTGATCCTAGCTCTAAGACGTACCCATCTGGTATACTTTTACCATTATAAATTAACCAATCCGCTAAAAGCAGAGCTCCTCTCCAAATTTGTAGGCCGACTAGTCCCAACAACGTACTCTTGCTGTGCTCTAAAACCAAAACAAGTATCGCTCAAAGAACGTTCCAAACCGAATCTAGTTCATTACCAATTTCAATGTTATTGGGATACTCATCCGCCTTCCGCCGTACCAAATCCAAATCCCCGTCGCAATCCGCCTTCGGAGAAATCGGAAGGTCTTTGAACGCGAACAGCGAGACAACATCTAAAAGTAGAAAATATCTAATATAACATAAATTGCATTTTAATGAACATATCGATTCGTACAGCCTGGACATGCGTTTAATACGGTGCGATATTACTAAAGTGAAAGTAGGAAGATCCTATCCTCAATTTACATTCTACTAGTTTCTTGCACAAAAATGCATATTACAATATTACATCATTTAACATTGTATTAATTAAAATCAAATTTTCTTAAAAATAATTCAGCGTTGCTAAGGTAACAGCGCGTTATTTATATCCGTCTTATCTTCAATATCTAACTTGCGATTGCAGCCGTAAATTTTATTGTATATTAATCTGAAACCAAATAAAGTTATTTATTCGAAGCAACTCTATTGTTTCTGCAACGGCATTGCAACAACCTTGGATCAAGAATAATTGAATGAATACTAAGATACTATAGCAGTTGGTTCTTAACTAACGGTTCTTACAATAACCGCGATCTTGAAGAATATATGCTAATCATGTACAAAACTTTTTATGCAAATTAGATGAATTCATCATGGAATCAACATTCAGCAAAAAAATATAAGTTCGTGCGGTCATTAGAACGTTAGTAATCGTGTCATGCGTGCTGTTTGTTATAAGTTCCGGCAGCTTTTTCTTTATCTTGACTATTAGAAATATTACATACAGTATTTAGAAAATATTGTTTTCCATGGGAAAATTTCAATGTTTTTTTACTCAAAATAACATATTTATTGTATACGATCGGTTATTATCTTTTTTGTAAATAAATAAAGCGTATTTATTTTATAATTTATTAAAGCACATTTTTTTTTAAAGAAATGCAATAAGTTATTTAAAATTGTTACAATTTTTCTGAACCAATAAAAAACAATATCAAGAAAGCAATTTTGTTATGGTAAAATACATCAGCATGAAATAGACATTTGGAATATACAACGAGCGTGTACGTATTTTCGTATGTATGTTAAGGTACTTAATATATTAACTGCCGTTGTTTAAGTTAAACTTAGCTCTTGGATCATACAATTTAACATTCTTTGAATATTTTGTTATTTAACGTCATTTTATCTTAATATAATATTTAATAAATCTTTAATTTTATTCAATTACACTCAGTTTTGTAGTTTAATAATAGTTTTAGGTATAGCGCAATTACAACCGATTTAGCATGTTCCTGTTTCGATTAATACAAACATAATCTTCACTTGCTTGCTATAAAAAAAACTTTATCAATTGGGTAGAAGATATTGTTATTTAATGATATTTCATATTTAAACAAGCTAATTTAATTATCCGTATTACAGGATCTGAACTATCAACGTTTTTTAGTTGATAGATAACACATTGATATAATATTTCGAATGCAACTGATATATTTGTGTACATGCATGACACAATTATATAATATTATACTCAAAAGTTATTCATGAAAGTTTTCTATGAAATGTAATAGTAAATGATATAATTGTAATATTTTATGATTATTTAGAATTTAATGGTTCCAAAAATATAAAATGTAAATTGAAAGCAAACATTGCGTGATGTAAGTAACTCTTGTAAGGGAAATCGAGCAGCAGTTGTAGGTATTTCGGGATGCATGTTAAAGCACTCAATAAACACGACCTCAGATACACAAGCTGAACTTACTGTTCGGATTTGTCGGCTTGATGTCCGTTCCGTAATCGAATTCAGCGTACAGTTCAGATGAGACCTCGTAGTCCTGGCCGTCCATCCTGCAAATTCAATTCATGATCGATTAAAACTTAATATGATAAAACATGTAAATTTTTCGTTTCTCTTCCACTAGAAATTTGCAGAGAAACATCCGTTTTACATTTCATTCGCAGTTGCCGCCGCATCGTGCATTACCCAATAAACAAGAAGTAATTGCAAATATCTCTTTCTTTTTTCTCTTATTTCTATTATTACAGATAATCAATGGAATACAGCAATGTCGACGTTGGGTAAGGATTTTCCCCGCTTTGCTTCCTTGCTTACAAATTAATTCATGGATTCATGAATAACGGAATCATCGTAGCAAGAAGCGGAGACCATCAACGCTTTAATCATTCTCTTTAGGCTTTATCACTGCTGCGTTTATATTTATCAACGAATAAACATAAAGCTGATTAGAAATTTCTCAATCTGTATTTTCTAGAAATAAAAAAATATGTATTAAAACTGCACTATTTAAAGAATATATATGTAAAGTTATGTATGTATAAAACGTAAACTTATTCCAGTATTATTATTTGTAAACAAAAAGAAGACAAATCGATATTAATGATATTAATATTTGTTATGGAGAAAAACAAGTTGTTTTCATTGAATTAATCAACATGGAAATAAACATTATAATTTTAAAACAATTTTTTAAAATTAATTATTTAACAATCCAATAATTAACAAATTTGTGGATTAAAAAATATGAAAACATTAGAATACTACGTATTTTGATTAATAATTATATATTTAAGATAATTTGTATCGACTTAGCTAAATATAATCAAGGAAACGTGCTTTTAGGAAACGTGTTAATCCTAAAACATGCTTGATCCAAATATCTATAAATACAATATGAAATAATGTAGATATATGTACACAAATACATTTAATACAGTAGTAAAATGTGTTATTTTAAGTGTTGGTATAAACTACAGGGAATGTTGTGTTATATGATGATATTTAGTATGAACATTAATATATGCTTTGAAATTTTTATAAATTATTGATATGTAAGAGCAAAATATATAATAAAGAGTAGTTGTAAATCATTAGTAGTGTGTTTAATTCAATGAAAGCAATAAAAAACTAAAGAAAATTATATTAATATGATTTTGTGTAAATATGAAACCGATTAAATGAATACACAGTAGAAAAGTATGGAAGCGTGTTATAAAAAGTAAGTAAATGAAAAGATCACAGAGCTTTGTTTTAATTGAATGTTAGTTGAATAAGATTAAGCAATAAATAATGCAGTAGAATTACATAAAACTGTTTATGGGAATACGGCAAGGTTGAATCTGAAAGAAAGATTTATTTTTGAATTTGTTGGCGGCGTTGCCGAAGGGCCTTATTGGTCGTGGATGGCGTCACTTTTCCTCCGTGGAGTCCGAACTCAATACGTGAAATATTGTGATCGGCTCGCGAAGAATCCAAGAACCAATGAACGAGACCCTTCAATCCGTAAATGATTCGCGATTTGCGAGTTCGGTGAGTGGGCATAAATTGTTATCCGCACCGGCAACCGGGCCACGGCAACGACCAATGAGAAGGCCCCACGAATTTTGCCACGTTGTGTCGCCGGCTCCGATCCTGACTTCATGCAACTTCAAGTGTCAGTTTGAGAGTCACCGCCAGTCTTATTAGAAGTGGCTTCAAAATTCCGCACAAGATGAGGAACCTTTTCGTATTTGTAGCGGCACTCTTCGCCGTCTCTGCCTACGCAGAAATCGAGCTCGACGAAGGAGTCTTGGTCCTCACCAAAGACAACTTCCAAGGCGCAATCACCGATAACGACTACATCCTCGTCGAATTCTGTAAGTATCGATTTAATTGTCCATCTTAACATCATTACCATTAGAGCAAGACAAAAAAAAGTAACAGCCTACGCATCACAAGATGATTAACTTACTTCAAGAGCATTCATACTTTTCACTCAACAAAAACATGTTTATTGCGATTTGACGTTTTCGAATCTCCTATTTACGTGTCACTAGATTATAACTAAATGCAGCTCATTTCTTTTTTTCATTACCTGTTGCTGCAATCTTAGAATTCGTTTTTCTGGATAAGAAATTGTTGAAACTAAAAAAGGTCAATAACCTTCTCGTTTTATGCCGCGTGAGCAAATGATAACAACAACGTTCCGAATAAACTACCTCCGTTACTATTAACCGTTAAACCGGCAAAAAAGCCCATTGACAATTTGATCAATAACGAAAAGAGATGAAAAACAACTTATGCAAATCTTCTAACGGTTCTTGACGTCCTTCGCCGTGAACTTTTCTTGTTGACGTTGACGGAAAAAATACGTGGCATCCCCCCATATGGAATCATCTTGGATGTGACTTATCTTATCCACTTCATTAATTAATAATTACATATAATACCTACCATGATGACGTTTTAAATTAAAAGGGATAATAATTATTTTTATTTTTTGTATTAGATGCTCCATGGTGTGGACACTGCAAAGCTTTGGCCCCTGAATACGCTAAGGCTGCCAAGGATTCCAACATCAAGTTAGGTAAAGTTGATGCCACTGAACAAGGTGAATTGGCTGAGGAATATGCTGTGCGTGGATACCCAACACTCAAATTCTTCAAGAAAGGAAACCCCTCTGAGTACAATGGTGAGTGTTTTTTCATGTACCAATTAAGGCTCCCCCACTGTCCATTCACTTTTATTTACATGCTATTTTACGTCATACATAAGTGCCGCATGTACATTTTGCAAAAATATCTTTAAATTTAACATAATTATACATTTACTATTAATTAATACTAAGTCCATATAATCAATATTTTTTGACAAACAACACTTTAATACTATATTATGGTAATTTTTATTATTGCATCACAAGTTAAATATAAAGAAATAATTTATACTTGGTTATTCAAAGAATATTTATTTGTCACTTTAGAAACTATATTTATTTACATAGGCTTGTGTTGTATATTTAATAATAATCAAAATGTGTTTTCTAAAATAGAATTGAATATTATAATTCAAGTATTTTAAAGAAAACTTAGCTAATCAAAGTTGGAATATATTGTACTTGAACAAATTAATATATATGAATGTATTATGTAATTTAGGTGGACGCCAAGCTGATGATATTGTTTCGTGGCTCTTGAAGAAGACTGGACCACCAGCGAAGGACATCAAGACCGTTGAAGAAGCTAAGGAATTCATTGAGGCCAACAATGTTGCTGTCATCGGTTTCTTCAAAGACCAGTCCTCGGACGAGGCTAAAGCTTTCTTAGATGCCGCCTCCAGCACCGATGATCATCCATTCGCCATCACCTCCGAAGAAGCTCTCTTCACAGAATACGAAGCCAAATGCGGATCTATCATCTTGTTCAAGAAGGTAATTACTATAATATTTTCATTAAATAAATTCAAACATTAACAATCCAATTATCTTAGTTCGATGAAGGCAAAGTACTCTACGATGGAGAATACAAAGAAAAGGACATCAAGAAATTCGTCGCCGCCAACGCCCTTCCTTTGATTGTTGAATTCAACCACGAAACCGCCCAAAAGATCTTCGGTGGAGAAATCAAGAGCCATCTTTTGTTGTTCTTGAACAAAGGTGAAGACCACTTCGAGCAAATCGCCGAAGCTGCCCGCAGCGTCGCCAAGCCATTCAAAGAGCACGTCTTGTTTGTTACCATTGATGCCAACGAAGAGGATCACCAAAGAATCATGGAATTCTTCGGAATGAAGAAGGAAGAAGTACCAGCCGCGCGTTTGATCAAGCTTGAGGATGATATGGCCAAATACAAGCCAACCAGCAGCGACTTGACCGCCGATACCCTCAAACAATTCGTTCAGGACTTCTTGGACGGAAAATTGAAGCAACACTTGTTGAGCCAAGAATTGCCAGAAGATTGGGATAAGGAAGGAGTCAAGACCTTGGTCGCTTCCAACTTCGATGCTGTAGCTATGGACAGGACTAAGTATGTTCTCGTTGAATTTTACGCTCCATGGTGCGGACACTGCAAGCAACTCGCTCCAATCTACGAGAAGGTCGCTGAACACTTCAAGGATAACGAAGAAATCGTTGTCGCCAAAATTGACTCCACCGCCAACGAATTGGAACACACCAAGATCAACAGTTTCCCCACCCTCAAGTTGTACTCCAAGGAAGACAACAAAGTCATCGAGTTCAACGGCCCAAGGACCTTCGAAGGTTTGACCAAATTCTTGGAATCTGGCGGCAAGGATGCTGCTGGTGAAGAAGTAGAAGAAGAGACTGAGGACGATGAAGCCCCAAGGAAAGACGAGTTGTAAAAAGTTATCAATAGGTACTTAGCTTAACTTCCAATTTAATTTTAATTTTCACATTTTGTTAATAGAAACACTATTTTTTAAATGTTTATATGAAAACAAACAAAAAAAAACAATTAAGAACTTGCCCACTCCTAAACAGATCCCAACGTGTAAGAAATCCAGATGTTTTAAAGATGTATTTAGAACTTCCCAACCTTCTTAATGGGGAAAACATATGAGACTGTTTCGTGTTTATTTTGATTATCTGCCATACTTGAAGCAAACACCAATTATTTTTATTTTAAGACATTCCTATTTTAGAGTCTAATCTGAATTTATTTATTTGTCTCTAAAAAGATTGGACTCTGAAATATTATACGAGATGAATATGTGCAAAAATATTTATATTTTTTTTATTGATCATTTCTCAAATGTTGTTACTCTATAAAAGGTCCTATTTGGCAGTATAATTATAAAATTGGATGTCTTGTGTGCTTTTGTCTTAAATATTTAAGAAATATTTTTGTCATCTTCCAAAAAAATATATATAACAATGAATGAAATTGAAATGTTTATTCTTAAATGTCTATTTGTGTTGGAATTAATATTAATTCCATTTTTAATAAGTTCGTTAATGATTTATAATAAATTTTTCAGTTACACTCTTAATTTGAAGCTTTATTTCAATGATTCTTTTTTACTTACAATAATTATAAAAATAGAATTTATCTTTGGTAGTCCATGTTATTAAACTTTTTTAAATTAATATATTATAGCAGTCAACCAGATATACAGATAATTTTACTTGAGTAAACGTAAATATTTACTAGGTTAAGTGAACTTTGTACTTGCAGCTAAAGTACATATATTGAAGCTAAATCTATTTCCTCAATAGTAGCAAAGAAGTTTATAAGCATGATGGCGCTAAGAAATCTCCTAAAAAGTGCTAAACCAATACACAATTTAGCAAGATGCTACAGTGCGGGGGCCAAATTAGTTGATGTGAAGGTAAATGATCAAAATGGTGTTGCAACAGTAACAATGCAAAGAATGCCTGTGAACAGTTTGAACTATGACCTTTTAAGTCAACTGGTTGATGCAATTGATGATCTAGAAAATAACAAGACCCGAGGCATGATATTGACTTCAGTAAGTAACAAACATAATTTACTTATTCAAGTACATAAACATATATGTTTTCAGGCTTCAAATACTGTGTTTTCTGCTGGTTTGGACATAATGGAAATGTACAAACCACAGGAAGAGAAATGTAAGAAATTCTGGACTACTTTGCAAGATACTTGGTTAAAATTGTATGGTTCATCATTTCCAACTGCTGCTGCCATTAATGGTCACTCCCCTGCAGGAGGATGTCTTCTATCAATGTGCTGCGAATATCGCGTTATGGTCAACAATTTCACAATTGGTTTAAATGAAACACAATTGGGAATAGTTGCCCCAAAATGGTTCATAGCTTCCATGCAAAACACAATGAGCAAAAGGGATGCTGAAATTGCGTTAACTTCCGGCCGTTTGTTTACCACTGAAGAAGCTTTGAAAGTTGGTTTAGTCGATGAAATTGCCAGCGATAAGGAAGATGCTTTAGCGAAAGCTGAAAAATTCTTCGCCCGATTTGCTAAAGTCAATCCACTTGCTAGACAGTTAACTAAGGCATCGTTAAGGGGAGAAGATTTACAAGTAATATAAGGCAATTTAAAAGAAACGTTGCGAAAATAACTAATTGTTTTTGCTTATTATTTCAGGACTTGTTAGATAACAAAGAGACAGACGTGGATTTATTCTGGTTTTCTGTTAGTCAGCCAATGGTACAAAAATCTTTAGATAAATACATTGAGGCTCTTAAGAAGAAAAGCGGCAAATAGTTTGATATCATTTTGTGTTATTTCTTTTGCATTTAAAAGGATACAATGTATATGATAAATAAATATTGCTATTGTTTATAATTCTGGTGAAGTTTCTTGAAGTACAATGATTTCGTTGAACTCGTCTTTTTGTATATCCAAGTAATGATTGATTTCCAATATTTTGGCACGATTTCTAGTAATTTCGTCTCTAAAGTATTTGAGAAAGTTTACGTTTGTAGAATCAATCTTACAAATTATTAAAGACTTACTTCTGTAAATCATTGACGAGGTTACTTAACCAAGTCTTGGCTCGACGAACAAGCATATCTTCTCTGTTATCAATTGCCAATAAATGTAAATCGTGTGAAGCAGCAATGGCATTCATAAGTGTGTCTCTATCCATGAATAACTGAAAACCGCGCATTACATAACGAATAATCAATATATCTACATATAGCTTAATTACTTACAGGCGCGATATCCAATGGGATTATCATGCGCGACGAAAGGGTGGTTGTTGTTAGATATCTCGTTGCCATTTCAGAGATCAATTCAGTATAGGTTTGTTGCAAGCTACGCATTTGAGCGAAATACCCTTGAGCCATTTCAATAAAATTATTTATCATTTCAGTCAATGACTGCTCAAAGACTTGATTCGTCTCCTCCAGTTGCTCGAACATCGTTACCTCTAATCCCATCAACGTTGTCCACGTAGTATGAATAGCTTCGTAATAAGTTTTCTTGTATTCTTCGATCATCGTATTATAATCTTGCATAGATAATTTCCCTTCCAAGAATGCCACCTTGTGACTCCTTATAGTCTTGAACATATCATCCTTAATCTGCATAAAAGCCTCCATATGTTCCTAAAAATAAGAAATAAAAATCACTGAACTATAATTTATAATAGTCACCAACGATGCTTTCGGTTTGGTTATTCAATTTAGCGCCTTCTGTAATTTTAAAGAATTGCGCCACTTCTTCCTTGCGTATCTTGAACTGGGTCTGTCCATTCTCGAAAATCTGTTTGGTCAATTCTAAAAACTGCGTTTCGTATTCGGTGTAGAATTGCTTTGCTTCTTCATCGACTTTCAGCAACGTTTGACCGTCGTAATCCTTTTCAAACATTTGATCAAACAGATGACTGCTTCCTAGGAACTCCACAAAACTTTCAGAGTGCAATTCCGCTTCTGACAATTCCTCCTGCACTTTCCTCCGCTCCTCTCTAGTAACGATTTCAATTTCTTCAAGATCAATAATCTTCTGACTAAAATTATTATCGTTATAAAGAGTTACAAGAAAGCATGTGCATTTGTATTACGCGTATAATTTTTTTCCTTCTTCTCTTTCGTTTGGCTCCACTAGTTTGTATTCGTAATAAACTATGTTTGGTAAAAAGATTGCGACGAAAGTTCTAAAATTGTCTTCCAGTGCGCACGGATTACCAGCCATGTTTACAGATTGCATTTTAGTGAAACGTCTCAAATATAAAACCTAAAATAAAACTGTTAAAAAACTCATTAATCTTAATTATTTGAGTATTACATTATCACGATCTGTTATATGATTATTGCCAATGCTGAAGATTTCCAGGTTTGTAAGCGTTTCCATATTCTCTATCGTTTCTATAGAATTATTAAACAAATTAAGAACCTCCAATTTAACCAAATCATTCAAATTCTCAATTTTCTTGATTTTATTGAAGGACAAATCGAGTTCTGTCAAATGAATTAAAGTCTCTAAATTTTCTATATTTTCGATCAAATTATTGTTCAGGCTCAACATAGTTAGACCTGGCAGCAGCCACAAATGATCTATTCTTAATATATCTAAAATTGTTCAACTTTAAATTAAGATATCAAAATCAAAAATGTTAATAGTACGCATGAATTCCAAACGAATTTGAAGTACTTCACCCCACGGTATTCCTTCTTCACGGGCCAATCTTCCCAATTCACCTTTCAATCCTTGCTCGTCCAAACAACGTTTTATCATAAAATGATCTATCACTTGAGGTTCGTGCTCTTTACACGGATCGTCCATGGCTTGAAACTAATAAAATTCGTTTCAAGTAAAATATAAAATGGTCAATGTTTGATCAATAACTTTGTTTCCATAGCAAATATTCATTAAAATCTAACAATAATTTAGGTTTATGAAAACATATTTTTTTTAAAATATTTAAGGCCTTAAGTCTGCTACCCTTTTGGGCGCTTATTAACTCATATTAAAAGGTCCAAATGAGAGCGGATAATGTATGTAGTATAATAAAAACATAAAATAAGAGCTTTGATTTTCCGCAATTAATTACAACTTCAATGATAAAGTATATAAAATAGTATAACATATTGGCTGATAAGTGTTAAGAATATGAAAACATCATGATTGAGATCATCTTTATATAAACGCATTTCTTAATTGGGTATATGAGTCAGCTAAACAATTCACAACAAGACTTAATGTGTAATTTACATAACTAGAATCTATTTGTTGAAATCATTTTTATAGTTTCTAGTCACGGGTCTATATCGTAAGCCCGAGAACCGAAAGACCGTATATGGAAATCCCGACTATATCAAAATCTCGACAACCATAATCCCGATTATATCAAAATCCTATATCGAAAAATTTTACAATAACATTTTAAAATTATTTCGGAGCGTAGTCACCTTTTGCTACACTTTTATTATTAATAACAAAACATTATTATTAATTTATTTGATTTTGTTGAATTATTCATAATACACCTTAACATTATGAAATAATCTCAAATACAATTAGATAATTAATTGTTATATTATTGATAACAATTTAAAAGTCGGGATTTTGATATAGTCGGGATTTCGAACGTCGGGATTTCGATACAGTCGGGATTTCAATAGACGGTCTTTCGGTTGTCAGGCTTGCAATTGCCACCGATGATACACATAAATATAGATATTTGTTTAAGATAGTAAAAAATAATAGAAGGCAGAACAGTAATAAGGTCCATTGAGTAGGACAGTCCTTCTTTTGTATGTTCTGTCCTTCCTCGAAAAGTGTCCTCCTTTTGGATATTTTATTGATGATATTAAAATCTGCAGCACTTACCGTAAAATTCAATATGAAGGATATTTCTTGCTCTAAAATTTCCAATATATTGTTATAAAATGATATATTGACAAAAAATATTCATTCAATGAAAAAATACTCGTTTAATTAAATAATTAAAAGGAATGTAAGCATAATTAGTGTATTTTTGTTTGAATTAATAAAATGATTCATTTATTTACGTTGTACTTTCATTGTAAAAAGAATGGTCACTTTACCTAATCTAGTTTTTTTCCTTAATATGTTTATATAAATATGTTTTTTTATTTATATGTGAATACTAGAAATATTATTAATACATATAAGAAATAACAAATCTATCCCTCTTGGTCTTTTTGTCCATAATAGATAATAAATTTCATGAATTAGATAGTTTTAGATTAATTAAAAGTTTTATTGTTTTATATAATCTCCTATAAGAAAATATGTACAGGTATTCCCCGACTTACGAACTCCCGGACTTACGAACAAAATTCTAACTTGTTACAAGGAGATATATAGTGATAAAAAATTAACTATCCAAACAAAAATTGATAATTTCTTTAATAAAATATAATATTTTTAGAAGATTTACTATCTGTTTTGTTGCATTTGTTTCTTTTGTATGTATTTTTAAGTAAGTATTTTGTTTATTTTAATCTATTTTTTTCAAATTTATGCAGTCAGTAATACAAAATTTAACATATATAAAAGTAAAAACCATAAGTATATTTTGATTTTTTTTAATTCCCCCGACTTACGAACAAATTCGACTTACGAACAATCCTTTGGAACGGAACTAGTTCGTAATATACATATACAGGTAGAATATGATAACTAAAATAAATTTCAAGTATATTACAGTTTATTACATATATGCAAATACACAAAATTAGTAATGAAGAAGGAAAGGTTAATTAAATATGCAAATACAATTAAGATAATTAAAATTTATGACCTAATTAAATATATACAAGGTAATAATAAAGTTATATATTATGTTTTATTTATTAACATTTTTAAGAATCTTCAATTTATTCTATACGCATAAAGTATGGAAATAAAATTTAATTAAAAAAAAATTAAAATCCTATTTAAAGTTGGTATCACTACTGTCATTCAATGACAACTGAAGGCGCAGTTTTATTCGTATTATTATTATTGAAGTGACAGCTGTAAGTCAGGCAAAACAGTGACTGACTTTTAAGCATTTTAAGTGCAAAAGTAAATTTCCGGTATTTTTTTTATTTACGATGACGTCGTTCTTCCAAGGAGCTTTAGGAGGGAATCCTTTTTCGACCCCGGTCGGCGGGAGAGTCGGTAAGTACAACACTTGCATAATTTCACTAAATCATCCCTTTAACGAAAATTTCCGCAATCGATTGTGAGTTTCAACAACATACGTAATGTTGTGCAAAAAAAAAATATAAATATCTATCGTGCTAATTAATTCATCTCGTACTTGTTAAAACCAAAGTAAACAAAACCTTATATCCCAGAAATCCTCTGAGCTAGAACAAATTATAACCCACTTAAATTTAATTAGAAAGTGCAACTGAGAGCAGCTTAGCATCTGAGAACTGGGCTCTCAATATGGAAATTTGTGATATGATCAATGAAACTGAAGATGGACCCAGGGATGCTGTCAAGGCCATCCGCAAGAGGTTGACCAATAATGCTGGCAAGAACTACACAGTTGTGATGTACACTCTGACTGTTCTTGAGACATGTGTTAAGAACTGTGGCAAGAAATTTCATACCTTGGTTTGCAATAAAGATTTTATTAATGAATTGGTATGTTATCTTATCAGAACTTATTATATACTTAATATTGATTTATCATTTTTTTTTCTGTTTCATATAGGTAAAATTGATTGGTCCCAAAAATGATCCTCCTACTGCAGTCCAGGAAAAGGTTCTCAGTCTGATACAGTGCTGGGCTGATGCATTTAATAGTCAGCCAGAAATGAATGGAGTTGTGAATGTTTATCATGATTTAAAAGCCAAAGGCATTGAATTTCCTGCAACAGATTTTGATTCTATGGCTCCAATTTTCACTCCACAAAAAGTACATATTAATATTATTTTATGAAATGTTATGAAATTGCTAATTTTTTGTTTTTAGACTTCTGATGCAATTGCAGAGCTTCCAACTGTAGTGGAACCCAATATGCCTACATATCAGCTATCAAAGATTTCACCTCCAATTCTATCACATGAACAGAGAACTAAATTAGAATCAGAATTGGATGTTGTACAATCAAATATGAATGTTCTTGGTGAGATGTTAGGTGAAGTGAAACCAGGGCATGAGCAACCTGAAGAACTGGAACTGTTACAAGTGAGTTCATTTAAGGATATATCACGCTGTACATTATATAAACGTTCTTGACACACCTTTGTTATCATTATTTCTGAAAATGTCTTTAATATGTTTTAACCTATTCACTTATCTATAAGCATTTACGTTTTCTTATCTCTAAAGTAATTAAATACGTTGATGTATGGCATACACAACATTCTATACAATTGTTTACATTTTTCGTCTACTAATGTTTTGTTTACGTTTTAGATGTTATATACTACTTGTAAGGAAATGCAAGGAAGATTAGTGGAACTAATCAGTAAATTAGCGAACGACGAACTAACAGCAGAGCTTCTCAGAATTAACGACGACATGAATAATCTAATCTTGAGATACGGAAGATGGGAAAAGAATAGGGAAGCCGGGGGGCAATCGGCTTCCGCCGTTTTGACTAATGCCACCAGGAAGCCGCCCTTGGAGTCCAATGACAGTTTAATCGATTTAGGCCCACCCGATGATTTGGTCGAAAAATTTAGTGAAATGGGAGTGGCCAGCGCAAATGCTGCTTCCCAATTGGCCAATATTGGTAGCGTGACTGCTACCAATAGACCGGTCGGCGATGAAGATTTTGATATGTTCGCCCAATCAAGAAAAGCTACATACGAAACATCAAAAACTACGTAAGACTATTATGAAATATTCATTTATTACGATTAATTATTTTTCACTAAGTCACCAAAATATTTTTTAATAAATGCTGATAATCTTTTTGTTGTCCAACAGACATACATCTAATATTAGGACAAAGTGAATAAATAACTAGACATTAGGCAGAAAGACCACAGTCAATATCTCTTTAGTCGTCCTAATGCACAGATTTTCAAATAAATCGGTCATCAAAACGGAAATTTCTTTTATATAAGAGAATATTAATAAGAATAACAATGTTGCAACAGTCACAAAAAGTAAACAAAAATAAATAAGTTTCTATAAAAAAAAACGCTGCAAAGGTCTTTCCGCCCAATTAATAAGATTCACTAAATATAATTTTATTGCAGAGGAAGCACATATAAGGATAACATAGATTCCGAGCATCAAGTTGATGGTTTAAGTAAATTGACACAAAATAAACCGAATGTAAGTTTTCTTCGCATTTTAATTTAGTAATATTAAATGAACAATTCAATTCTTAAAATTATATCGCATGCCAAGTTGTATCGCTTCTGCTTCTGTATATACTTTAGTTTTTTAGTAGTTAGTTTTAGTAGTATTTAGAAAAGAAAAGAAACCATTTTTATTTTAATTTTATACAGAATCCGGCTGATTTGGAATTTGATGAAATGGCAGCTTGGCTGGGGGATGTAAGTTCTTTCTTCCTTTTTTTTTTATTTTATTATTTTCTTATCTATCTGTTGGCACTCTTTTCAATGTTAACTATTAGAAAATCTTTGTTTTAACAATAGGAATTGTTTTTTGTTGTTGTTATAACTATGTTTCTGTATACAGACAACTACAGAGGAATCTGTAACAAGCAGCGAATTTGAGAGGTTTCTAGCGGAACGAGCTGCTGCTGCAGAGGCTCTTCCTTCAACCACTACTCCTACACCAACAGGCGCCGCTGCTACCAAAGCAGCTAAGAAAGAAGATGACAAGGAAAGTCTCTTGACACTATGAATTGATGCAATCTTGAAAAAAGTATACACACATAAAAAAAATCATAACATTCTAGACTTATTCATTTCATAACGAGTCTCCTTTCTCGTATATTATATGTAACTTGAAAATAATATGAATGTTTAGAAATTATTGTAACTAATCTCACTAATTAATTTGCAAGTGCTAGTCTAATTACAGTAATTAAACAATAAGTCTCGATTGTATTAAAGTATATAATAGAATTGTAACAGTTTCAAGGAATGATGTCTATATAGAAATATTGTGAAAAAAATGTGATTTATCCAATATGAATGTACTTATTAAGTACTGAAATGGAAATCAAGATGGCATATGGATTTATATGTATATAAGCTTCAAATTATATTTTATGAATGTTTTATAAAGTCTCGCGTAAAACAAAAAAGAAATATTTTTTAAATGATTTTATTTTTCATATTTATTTTGATCTGATTAGTTACCAAAGATATCTGTGTAATTTGCTTCCAATTTAAGACATCTTCTGTTTCATATTTAATTGAAGGAGATATACAAAAAAAAACACGTTTAATGAGATGAAAAAAGTATTACGTTTAAATTATTTTTTATTGATTGTTAATTTTGTTTTCTACAACCATTGGATTTATATCTATATACCTATTAATTATTATTCTTAAATTATATGAAAAAATGATATGCATTACACACATATTTTGTAATCCCATAAAGTATGCAACTACTTTTAATTATAATGAATGAATGCAGAAAGCGAATAGATTTATTTATATATATATATAATTGTTGATACCCTGTAATTACAATTAAGTATAACTGATATAGGCTTGTCATTATTTCAGACAGAAAACTCTTGAATCCACAAATACATAAATCGATTTACCATGTGTTATTGTTACTACTATAATAGTGCAATCAATTACCTACAATAATGACTGGACTATATACATATATTACGTTAATGTATATTGATATAAGCTTAACATCCCTAATAAAGTAAGAAAGAAAATATAACAGTTCAGTCGTCTTTTTTATTGATCTTATTTAGAATAAAACGGAAGTTTGATCGATACTACTTTATGTCATAGTATTGTCACAGATATGGTGAAAAGTGGGTATGCTTCGTAATTTGAATATGTGCGATGATTAATGTTTTTTTTACTACAGTTACAGAAGAACTGGTTCGAAAAAAGTCTGAGCACAATGAGTGCGTTATTGGTACGCTCGAAGAGCTGTCGTTGCATCAAGAGGACGTCGAAAAGATAGAGTATCTACACAATTGGTGTAAAGGTCTTCAGATTCTATATTTGCAATCAAATTTGATTTCTAAAATAGGTAAGCTTTCAATCTATTTACATTGTGAAAATTGCTTATGTATATTTCTTTCCATTTCGTTTAATGTTGTAACATCCTTAAATTGCGTCGTAGTTCAAACAATACCATAATAATTTCGATCATTAAAAATGCAAAATCCCTCGCAATATTTTATTCAACCTTGTTTGCCCAGATTTCGATCGAATCGATTTCTTTTGATATTTTAAGTTCAAATCAAATTTCTCGAAGATTAAAACTGCTTTGATTCCAGTAAATTTCAAAATCTAATAACATTAAAAGTTTCTTAAGAATCAAACTTGTGCTAATTGCACAAAAGTGAATATGTTCGTTTAGTTAATTAAATTATTGACAAATCAATCAGTAATGAATAATTACACTGAATATTGATTTTAGAAAATTTGAACAAATTGAAGCAACTGGAGTATCTAAATTTGGCAATAAACAATATTGAGAAAATCGAAAACTTGGAGAGGTGCGAATCACTGCAAAAGTTGGATTTAACTTTGAATTTTATTGGAGAACTGGAGAGCGTACGCAATCTGATACCAAACATCCATCTGAGACAACTGTACTTAACGGGTAATCCGTGCACCGAGTACGAAGGCTACAGGGATTACGTTATTGCGATATTGGAGCAGATCGAAACCTTAGACAACGTATCAATTACTAGAAGTGAACGAATCAAGGTTGCTTCGTTTCAATACGTAATATTATTAATGCATTAATGGTATCGATTTCAGGCGAAGCAGAAACTAAGAGAATCAGAAAAAACTATCAGACGAGCGCAAAAAGAGTACGAGAAATTTCGAGAGGAGCAAAAGGCCAGATTGTCCATCGTCGACGATACTATTGATGATGAATCATTTTGGAAATCGACGTCGGAACATGCACCGGAAACGCGATTGGAAATCTCTCGAAGATCTCGATTAGCTAGAGGAAAGGATAAGAAAGAGGAAGTGGGCGAAACAAAAGCAATTTCTGTTTTCAATAGAGATGGTCGCCCTTTGAATATGAATCAGGCTAAAGTTCAATTTAAATTTGACGATAGCGATTCCGAATCTTACACTTTGGATATTTCTGTTTATAAGTATGAATATTTCGTCGTTTGTTGCAATATATGTGATAGTTAATTTGCAGATTTCTGGATACGAGTTATATTGATGTTGATCTTCAGCCTATATTCGTTAAAATTACTATAAAAGGTAAAATCTTTCAATACGTCTTTCCTGAAGAAATTATCACCAATAAGAGTAAGGTACAGAGGTCGCAAACTACGGGACATCTGTTGCTAACTATGCCTAAGCTCAATTATAAATCGAATATAATTAAATCGAAAGCTTTGCCGAAACCTAGACTTGAAAAAAATAGGTGAGTCCAAATTACTATCTGCTTCTATTTCTGATAATTTCAGAATAATAGATATTATATATTTCCATTATTTTACAAAATTACATTACAAAGTTATATCATAATTGTAACATATTTGACTATTATTATATTCGCAAGAACTATACAATTATTTAGTGTATAATTTAATAACATTGTTTTCTTTAAGTCGTTACTAATGGGATATTGTTGTAGTAGATGATAACAAATCTTAAGATAAAGTTGATTTTTAAGAAATATAGTGAAATTCTACATTTCGTAAAATTTTATTTTTTTAACTTTCTATAGTAAAATATTAATTTGGTGACCTAACACTTCTGTTGTAAGTTACAGATATAACAGGTTTTTAAAGAATTCTAAAGTGTGATACAAATGATGTAAGCAGTGTTTTCATCATAGTGTGGTAATATTAATGTCATGCATTTTTAGTAACTACTTGGAATTTGAGGGGACCAAAGAGGAGATGGACTTTAGTAAGATTGTCGAAAACAATAAGGTCAACAATTTCGTTGACAACCCAGATGTTCCTCCACTGGAATACGCTTGAATTAAATGTGCTTTTTTTTGTTTAATTTATTTTGAAAAAGCGTATTTGCAACTTACAATGTTTTTCATTTCTTGTTTGTTTGTACATTCAATAATATAAATATTAATTAAAAAATGTATTTATGACTAATATTCAACTTGTCTTGGTTTTATTTGTATTATAAAGTAAACATGGAGTATTTGTAGTAAAAGAAATAAGTGTTTAATATTACACAAGAAGCCACATTTTATAACACTATAAATTTAAACTTTCTTCTGAATAACATTTCAATGGCTAGACACAATATTATTTCCTGTCAATCACATACCTATATTTATAATATATATCTATATATCTCAGACAATAAAATTTAATAGCACAAAACCAAACACATTTTGAATACAATTTAAAAAAATATAATATCGTTTAGAAGTTACTTAAAATATTCCATTCTTTTATCGCGCCCTCTGCTCATCTTTCCTTTAATTTATTTTTTTTGTATTCAGGTCAAAAACAGAAACCTTTGTGTATGAAAACAACAAAAAAAAAGGAAGCGTTTCATTCAATATTTATAGTTATTTACATTCTGTGCAATATATGAAGTAATACTGACACAACAAACACACAATCAAAATTTCATCAAAAAATTTTGTTACGACATAAAAAAAATGCTAACGGAATGATTGCAAAAGTCAAATACAAGTTGTGTCATGAGTGCTACCAAATGAAAAAAAACTGGTAATATTAACTGGCAATGAACGAATTTAATTATATATTAATAAATATATGTATATAACAGATACGTTATGTATGCGCCATACATTAATAATTATTATTGTGCATAACTTCATTTAGCAAGTGGCAGCCCGCTAGAACTTAGTATTATTTTCTTTCATTAAGCAGATTTCACATTGATTTACAATTATAGATCCATTCCATACCATAGAGAATTGGTCACATTTGTATTTGATTAGAAAAAACATAAAGCGTGTTTCGATTTTTTTGAGATGAGAAAATTTTTAAATATACTTTTTTAATCCCTATGAAACTCTATGTGAAATGAAGTGTATTTTATACCTAATTATTGCAACATGATTTTGACGAACTGGCCTGCTGTCTTCTATCCACCGTTACTCTATCAACATGTTCACCTTGCTCTCGGCCAGCGGTTTTATCTAGTATGGCTTCGGCCAATTCGCTGAACGCCTTTTCAATGTTTATGTTCGCCTTGGCCGAGGTTTCCATGAATCTTATACTATGCTCGCGCGCAATCTGCAAATCGTAAAACATTAATAACATCATCCTTCATATTAATTTCTAATCACAACTTACAGCCTCTCCTCTTTCTTTACTGACTGTCCTCTTATCATCCATATCACATTTATTACCAAGAATCATCTTCTCTACGTCCTCGTTTGCATGCTAAAAAAAACAATTATCATATCCTCTCTTTAAAAATTCCATTGAAATTTCGTACCTCATCAATGTTTCTCAACCATTTCACTATATTTTCAAAACTCTTTTCATTAGCTATATCGTAAACTAACATGATGCCCATGGCTCCCCTGTAATAGGAGGTGGTGATTGTGTGGAACCTCTCCTGACCGGCAGTGTCCCATATCTGCAGTTTGATTTTCTTGCCCCTCAGGTCCACAGTTTTTATTTTAAAATCAATACCTGCAAATTAATTAATTAATATAATGACACAAACCATATAAAAAGAAGCATCATTCAAATAAAATTTGACTTTCAAATTTGGCGCCCACCTAATGACCTCACCCTCTATTTATAAATGGAAATTGAGCAGGGTTATCTTTAAAAGGAAAGCACTGATAATGAGGATGATATCATTGGGATTCCACCGTTCTAGCGGATACCTTCCTATCATCCGATTTCTATTCTATTTTTATTAATTTATCTTCTTGTTTCCTTTCTTTAAATAATATTCCGTAGCAGCCATTAATTGATGGGGGGCAAAAAAATACAGGGTTTAAAGGTTAACTCACCGATTGTTGAAATAAAAGTGGTCGTAAAGGCGTCGTCGGAGAACCGAAATAAAATGCAGGTTTTGCCGACACCGGAGTCGCCGATCAGCAGCAATTTGAACAATAGATCATATGTCTTTTTGGCCATGGCTATTATTTAAAATCTTAATCACTAATTTAATATTTTTTTGACGTCTCTGTCAACAGTGTTGCCACAAGAACAACTAGAATAACAATAATTCCGATGCGACTGTCCAACCAACTTAGTAAACAGATTTATCGCTTGTTTCGTTGCAACCAAATGCACACAGTTATCACAATTTAATCTCTTGACGCTCTTGACTCATTTATTGTGCATTATTTCATACACATTATTGAATAATTTTCTAATAAAGACTGAGTTTCTATAACATAATCAATTATACTATTTTTAATCGATGGAATGTGTATGTTATGATCGTTACTCTGCATTTATTTTACAAAAACAAACATTTCAAAATAGATTCTGATGAACTCATGTGTTTCTATTGGCCGTTAAAATTACATGCATGACTTTCGAATACATTTTTCCAAGAAAGAAAGGCTTTTACATGCGCAACATCTTGCTAATTAAGTCTGATAATAAAATGGAGATTCCGCGCTGAAGAAGTACCCTGAATTTTCAGGATCTGAAATTGTAATACAAAAAGATAAATAGCATCCAGATCTTGATAAATTAAGTTCTTTTGTATCTCATCAGGTGAAATATTTAACATATAAATATTTATTTTGGAAGAAGAAGTTATAAAGTTATTTTTTATTGTTGTATTGTACATAATATATAATGTTTAAAATACTGAATAAAATAAATAAACACCCAATGAAACGTCCTTTTTGATCATCCAACCGAAACTGAGGTTATTCAAACAAAACCGTAGAACCAAAATAATATAACATGAATATTTAATGAAAATGTGTACTTAGATAACATATTTTTAAACCTTTACAATAAATACAATTATTTAACGAATCTCAATAATAGCAGTAAGTTATTTTATATTAATCCACTGTATTATTTTTAAGATAATTTTCAAAGTACTCCAACATAAACTAGTTGATACGAAATTAATCTTTGATAAAATAAAGAAAGTGTCAGTGGAAAGCCCTTTTTAACAATTTATATATTTCTGTTTTATTATTGTGGTTTAAATGTTGATTTATTATTTTGCTATTGTACACGACTATCCCAAAAAGTCAGCTTCTTTTTGATCTCATCATTTTATTTCTTTATGTACAAATATTCGTAGAATACTCTTGGAGAAAAATATTAAGGTCGTTCAGAACAATTTTTTCAATAAAACGTGTTTATAGGAATATATAATAATTAGAGTACTTGAAGCAATATATATATATACATTTTATACTTTATTTTTATATATTCTGATTGATTTTCTAAACGTATTTAAAACAATTTTTATTAAATCTCTTGGTTGAATTTATATAAAAATAAGCACCATATTTGTTAGTGCCATCCGTGGAGATTTAAGGAACTAAATTTGCTGCAGGTGGAGGTTTTTGCAACTATTGGATATCCAATACAATCTGTCAGTTTGACATTTGTTGTATCCTAAGAAAAAGGCATAAATTATAGAAGATCTTAAGTAATCTCACAAATCTAGGTAAGCCCTATTTAATGTACTTCAGTAAATTTAGTCCTTGCAAGTATTAGATTAAGCAGTATAGAAAGAGTAATGCGATAAGTTGCCTGCGCTGAGACCATCCTATCAGTTATTAAAACTGATTAAAACGTTTCCACCATTTATTTGTTTTATAAGCCGCTGTGTATAGAAGTAAGGCATAACGTTCAACTAATAGAGTATATTATTCGGTAATTAAAGTTATTAATCGATAAAAAGTGAGTCATGCATTGTGTATATATACTCGATATATAGTAACCCCAGTCACTTATTGTGCGCTGTTGTGAAATACTCGAGTGACAGATTGTAAGGGAATTCCCCCGATTAAAATATCAAGAAGGGAGTGGAGGTTTAATAAAAGAATAAGAAAATATCAGGAAAATATTAAATAGTGTACTAGAACAAATTTTCATAAGATAACATTTAAAACAAAAATATAGTGTAAATGCAATTTATTGACTATTTAATGAGTGTTATTTGTTTTGTTCATTGATCATTTCTGTTTGTTCATTAGATTGCAATAATTCATAATGACAACTTGGAATAATAGTCCATATCCACCACCAGGTATGTTTCTCATGTCTTTTTTTTTAAGATAGTTATTACCTAGGCTATAATTTAGATCCAAATCAATACTATGGTGGTCAGCAAGGGTTTGGGCAACCATACCCTGGTGCTGCAGGGTACCCACCACCAGGAGGTTTCCCACCGCCAGGAGGTTTTCCTGGACAACAGGGGGGTTTCCCTGGACAACAAGGATATCCTGCCCCAAGTGCACCGGGTTTCGTTCCGCCGCCACAAGGGCCGCCCTTTGGTCACGTTCCCCCACAAGGAGGTTACAATCAACCAGGTGAAGGCACATCATTCAATAATTATAAACCTGGTTCGTTTGCACTTGTTTCTTAGGGTATTTTTTGAATGCTTTTTTCTTTGTTGATTACTGAAGCTACATTAATGGCTGATTTGTTTCCTATCCTCTCTATGATATGATAACATTCATTATTTATGTATCACTATATGATAATGTACCACTTTATTGGTATTCCCATTGCAACAGATAAGATACCTTTTTTTACCTGAAGTTGCCTTTTCTTACAAAAGACTACAAATGTTATGTCAATTTTGTTAAAACCTTCAGACAGTAAGGATCATTGTAAGACTGTGCATGTGAGTTTTATTGGTACATCATGGGTAAGTGAAATTTTACTTGTTGAATCCTGCCACTTTTATACTAATTTATCATCAGTCTTTATTTTCTGTCATCAATTTTCCAATTAAATATTTTTTTTATTTTAACTTATTTATTGGTCATACAATAAGATCAAAGGGCTATCGACCCAATCTAATTAAATATTATTCACGAACTTAAATTAAATAGAAATATATATAAGTATAGCAAGTTCCAGTAAACAAGGTCTAAATTGAAAGAGGAAAAAAAAATGTTTTTTATCATAAGATTTAAATATTTGCTCTGATTATAATTTTTTTCTCAAGTTATACAATTCTTCTTTACATAAAATATGGTTTAGATAAGATATATATTTATATCTATACTTGTTTTAAGTGATCATGGTCTATATTGAATGCTTCAAAAACGAATGTGTAGGGTTATTTATTAGTCAGGATCTTATCTAATTAAAACTAAATATTTGATACGTTTTCATTACTGATCTTTCATTATACAATGCATCTTTACATAAATTATGTTTATTATCATCCAGATAAGAAATATATCTAGTTTTGTCTAATAATAAACAGAAACTCCTATGTTATCTCTTTTGGGTCATATTCAATTTAATGCTATATGTGCGTTAAGAATAGTAAATTTGAAAATGTATTATTACTTGTACAGTGGAACCTCGCTTAACGAGCATAATTTGTTACAAAATTTCCGGATTTTTACTCGTATAGTGAAACAGTTTTCCCTATATAAACTAATGTAAAATACGATAATGCGTTCCATGCCGGAAAAAAAAGTATAACTTTGTCTCGATTTTTAATGATTGTGGTTTTCATATCTATGGTTATTTTTATTCTTTGGCTTTTTATTTGGAGACCTGCAAGTGTTATTAAATTTTGCACAAAAAAAAATGTAAATAACATGTCTGAGCACAAGTCAATATATGTTTATATTAAAAAGGCGTACATTGTTTGTTTCTATATTAAAATAATGGTTGGACACAATATATTTGTGTTTTGCATATACAGCAAACAAATTATAGTCCGCTATAAACAAAAATGACAAAGCAAATTGAAGATGGTTAATATTCAAAAGTACACATAAAGTACACAATCTGGGATTTCTCTACTTGTCACTCGTTACGCGAAACTTCGCTAGTTAAGCGTTATTTTTAAAAATAACAAACAATTCAAGTTTCAAAATAATAATTATATTTATTTAAAAAATATAATAAATAAATGATGATTTTTCAGCAGAAATAACTTCCTTCTACCAGCTTTGTGGAGCTCACAGTGCTTCGTAATGTGGGAGTCATTTCTGCCGCGTACCAATTTTTTTAATCCCCCTTTGGAATATGGGAGTTATTTCTGCCGCACCCTGTATGTGTTTTATTCTGGCATATTCTGTAGTTTAATTTGTTGCTAAACTTTTTTTTAATTTGTTTGATTAATGTATGTGTGCAGCATGTTTTATGTTTGATGATTTTGAATATGAAACTATATTCAGTTATATAATAATTGCGTTTATTTTCAGATATGTACGGAGCAAGTTTTAATGGAACGGAGGACAACGACATAAAAGGTCAGTTCGATTTCTCCGATCAAACTATTCGACGAGGTTTCATCAGGAAGGTCTACTCTATTCTGATGTTCCAACTAAGCGTTACCCTGGCTTTCATTTCGTTGATGGTGTACCATAAATCTACCAGGATATTTGTCAGGAGTCACCCAGAATTAATGATCGTCGCAATCATTATTTTTATTGTATCTCTAATTGCTCTATCCTGTTGCGGAGAACTTAGGCGCAGATCGCCCACCAACTATATATTCTTGACACTTTTCACATTGGCGGAATCGTTCATGCTAGGCGTCATTTCTTCTACCTACAAATCCGATGAGGTCGTCATGGCCGTTGGAATTACTGCTGCTGTTTGTCTCGGGCTCACTCTATTTGCTTTCCAAACTAAGTGGGATTTCACAATGATGGGCGGCATTCTTTTCGTCGCTGTCATTATTCTGCTAATCTTTGGAATAGTAGCAATTTTCGTCAAGAGCAAAATACTTTCGATGGTATACGCATCGTTGGGCGCTCTCATCTTCTCCATCTATCTGATTTACGATACCCAAATGATGATGGGCGGCAATCATAAATATTCGATTTCCCCCGAGGAATACGTATTCGCAGCATTAAATCTGTATTTGGACATTATCAATATCTTCATGTACATCTTGACCATTATAGGCGCTGCTCGAGATTGAGCATCAAAACCTATATTTGAAAGATTTTTCCCCCTTATACCGAATATAGATTTAACAAAGATATATTGAATTCGTCTACAACTAGTATTGCTATTGAAATATTGCATTCACACTTGTTAGAAACCTTTTAACTGAAATATAATGATAATAATTGTTTAGAATATTTTATACACATATATTAACAAACAAAAAAAATCTATTTTGTGCGTACGTTTTGAAGTAACGAATATTGTAGTTGGAAACTGTCTTTGATGTTTAAAATATTTATTAAACACACTTATGTACCATGCATGTTGATTATTCTTGAGACTGATTTAGTTGTTACAAACATAAAAAAGAAAGAAAGAGCAAGCAATTTGCATTGGTATAACTGAGTTGAGTATAGAATCTTTGGTTATTGTATAGTGAAAAAAGTAACATATATTTACGAAAATGTTTTGACTTTATTTTTCTATTGTTGTGCTAATGTAAACTTCTGCTTCGAACGGGTGACTTCGATCATTTGGTTGCATAATTTCTTGGGTTTCTTATGTAATATTGCTAATGTATAATTGATGTAATTGTTAACAACAAAATATTGGCTCAAATGTAACTTGTGTCTATACATGTTGTTTTATAAAATAATAATAAAAAATGTTCCACCTACATATTGTATGACTTAATCTATTTTAGATAAAATATTGCAATTAGAATTCAAGAATATACAGTTTAAGTAAGCGTCGACGAACACGCCCTCTCCCCGTCATCCGTTATTTAAGTTTCATTATAAATAAAGTTAATGTATTTAATTGGTTCAAACAATATTCAGAAAATAACGACATCAATTCTATATTTTCTTATATTCAATTTGCAAGAGGTCAAACTATTGACTAGGAGTCAAATGTATAAGAAAATTGTTACAAATCAACCTTTATATAAAAATATTCTTTCAGCTTTATCCCACATTGGAAGTACAACGTTCTTAAAAGAATTCAGGAACATTTCCTTTAAGAAATAAGGTTTAATTGCTTAAAACGACGATATGAAATCGCTTTGTATAAATATAAAATTTGCACAGTTTTTGTATAAATCAATAATTTGCACTTGTTTTTAACAGAAGAAAATAAGAACCTAGTCACGTTTAATTAGCCGTTATGTAAAATAAACACATCTGGATAAAGTAAAACCAGCTGATGTTTTATCCTAAAAATAACAAATTTCGTTGAATAGCAATCGCTATTATTATTAATAAAGACTATGTAAATCAAAGCAGATTATTTGTTCATTTACAAGACTTTTTTGAAACATTGGATATTCTCGAATGCTTATCTATATTTGATATTCTTTATAATAAATTATTATCTTTGAAGTAAACATTGAAGGTGTTTATATAAACACTCCTAGTGGTACAAATAGAGACATGATTCGTGTAATAATAGAAAAATGTTTCGAATATTTTGTGTACATTAGAATTTCTATGTTTATTCTTGTCTTGTAGGAACAAAAATCTGGAGAAAGCTAAAGTAGTTGACTCTTAAATTAAAGTTAGCAAATATTTGCAATAAAAAAATATTTTGAATGTAAATATGTTATTGTTAATTTTATGATGTAGCCTATATAAAAGTGAATATGAACAAAAAGAAAATTTGCTCGAGTTATTGGCGCACCAGTTTCGCCAACTTAACATAAAAAACTTGTTTCATCTTTAATTAGCAATAGAATATGCAATATTTAATATCAATATTGGTAATGTTGCATAACAAAATGTACGTGCGTTGGGTAATGTGATTTTTGTGTCGCATTAATATTTAAATGGTAAGTAATGCATCTATTTCAAACTATTCTATTTTAAATTATTAGTAAATGCTGATAAGATATGGATAACTCTGTCAATATTGATTTTCGGAGGGTGTTAATGTATTTTTTATTGCGTGCTAAATTTAGGATTGATGACTACTGGGTGGACTGGACCTCGAGGAAACCGGAGCGTAGATATACGTTAGATGACATGCGCTTCTTCTGTTGACAATTTTAGTATGTAATTGAAGATAATGTAAAAAATATATACGGAGGTCTAGTGGGGAAAATGGCAACAAAAATTATCGAACCTCCGTCCTCTGCTAGTTCCGATAGGTAATTAGAAGTGTACAGAAGCTTAAAGTGTGATCATACGGGAGTGAAGGCATCGTCAAAAAATAATAATATACCGAAACCAGTCATCATGAACTGCTGTAACAGCTATCCATTTCGGCCAGTTTCTCTCTACACTAAAACTCCAACATGCATGCCGCTACACATGTATGGCTTTGTTTTCATTCCTTATTTATATGTACAGTTTGTATAGACGTTTCATTGTTTTCCAACGCTAATCTCATCCACGAAGGTTAAACCGATTCAGCCACTTCAGGCGTTTCGTACCATGTGGATCGCAGATTTCCACATGCTTCAGCATTTCATAACCTACATTCGCACAAATTTTATTTGCCACGTTCGTGAATTTTCAATACTGCAATACGGTGCATCTGCAAAGTAAACTAATTGTCATGTTCTTTAAAGTGATGTTGGCGAGACCCAGGCGGACCTCTCAGATGTTTTCCCTGATGGAGAATGTGAGGAGGAGAAGAGTGGTGACTTCTACAACACCCCAGCATCACCTATCACAGTGCCCTACTGTCCAAGGCCCCCATCCACTGGTTAGTATAATTATTTACATTTACAGCTGCAATTGATATCAGCATATTTGACCTAACTGAATCACCTTTATGAATTGCAAATTAATTTTAATGACCATTAACCCAACAACATACACAGTGGAAACAACAATGATTCATCAACATGTAAATATATTATTGTTTTTGCACCAAAAAAATATAAATAAATATCTGATGCAGATGATATCAAGGTCTTATCAATTGAGTTACACTGGCTGTTTGTTTACTTGCAAGTATTTCCTGTTGTTTATTAACGACTTGTCAAACGCATTTTATATTAATCAAAATTCATTCACCATAATCTGTATTGTTATGTCACATGTAGTTTTTTTCAGTACGGAAATCGCCAATTGCATGTGCGAGAGTATAATCGACTTTATTTTGTATTTTAGGGTCGCAGAAGTCCCCGAGGGCTCGACGACAACGCACGACTTCGATAAATCAATCGTCGAAGAAGACGTCGGCTGAGTCTATGATTAGGACCCCTCATCGTACTATTTATACGGCTGGAAGACCTCCATGGTATAATACTGCTGGTCAACAAGTTGAACCTTTTGTCATTGGTAAATACCTTTTTCCCTTATTAAATAGATCCAATATACCCCAACTTGTAATATGGTTATGCGTTTTATCTAGAGCAACACTTAATTGGAACGTGAAACGTAATTAATTCAACAACAAGATAGAAAAATTGGCTATTATATCAGCATTTATATGGTATAATTATTTTAAGTTCTTTTTGCAAAAATTATGCAACAGAAAATTAATAATATTGTTATACAGCAATTTATAAAAAATAATTCGTTAATTGTAAATATAACTATGAATAATTATTTTCCAGGTATTTGCGGTGGGAGTGCAAGCGGAAAAACAACGGTGGCTGCCAAGATTATAGAGTATTTGGGAGTACCATGGGTTACTTTACTGAGTATGGATTCGTTTTACAAGGTGTTGAATGAAAAACAACATGAGCAGAGTGCTCGAAATGAGTATAACTTTGATCATCCAGACGCTTTCGATTTTGAGCTTCTTAGGGAAACATTGGAGCGTTTAAAGGAAGGAAGAAAAGTTGAAGTACCAATCTACAACTTTTTGACTCACTCCAGGGAAACGAGAACTGTAAATAGTTTTTGAAATCTGAAAGAGTACACAGCTTCATATATGATTTTTTTAGAAAACTATGTACGGAGCAAATGTGATTATCTTCGAAGGAATTTTAACGTTTTACAATCAGGAAGTGCTTAATTTGTTGGATATGAAAATCTTCGTAGACACTGATCCCGATGTGCGTTTGGCTAGGCGTCTCCGTAGGGATATTTCCCAAAGAGGTAGAGATTTGGAGGGCGTCTTGAAGCAATATACAAGCATGGTGCAGCCTTCTTTTAACCATTACATCGCTCCGTTGATGGCTCACGCCGATATTATTGTGCCGAGGGGTGGAGAGAATGAAGTGGCTATACAACTTATTGTTCAACATGTGCATAGGCAACTACAATTGGTAAATATAATGAATATAATCTAATCAATACTCGACCTTTGCGTGAAAAGTTCAGTATAATTATATAAAATGTCTGGTGAACTTGAAGTAATTATTTCGCATGGTGTAATTCCATAAATTCAATGATCTAATGTTTCAGAGGGGTTTCAAACTGAGGGAGGAATTAGCCCAAACCCAGAATTACGTGGGCGAACCACGACCTAATACTGTTCGTCTGTTGCCCACTTCGCCACAAGTGAGAGGTCTGCACACCTTCATCAGAAACAAAGACACGCCCAGAGATGAGTTCATTTTTTATAGCAAAAGATTAATTCGTTTAGTTATCGAATACACTCTATCACTCATGAATTTCACGGAGAGGACCGTTGAAACACCGCAGGGCGTTTCATATAAAGGTAGTAAAAGCAAATAGAAATTCCGTGTAATTAACGTATATATTATTTCAGGCAAGAGAATGGGCACTAATAAAATATGCGGAGTTTCCATTTTGAGGGCAGGAGAAACTATGGAACAAGCATTCTCCGACGTTTGCAAAGATATCCGTATTGGAAAGATTCTTATTCAGACCAATTTCAATACCGGAGAACCAGAGGTATTATTATTAATGAATGAATACAATTAACTTAAATGATCTATTTTTTGTATGTTTCTTTCAGCTGTTCTATTTGAGATTGCCGAAGGACATTAAAGATTACAAAGTGATATTGATGGATGCGACAGTTGCAACGGGAGCTGCTGCAATGATGGCTATAAGGGTTTTATTAGATCACGACGTGGCAGAAAGTAATATTCTCATAGTGTCTTTGTTGATGGCGGAATCTGGTGTGCATTCGATAGCGTACGCATTCCCAGAGGTGCAAATAGTGACCACCGCTATTGATCCCGAAATCAATGATAAATTCTACGTTTTGCCGGGAATCGGTAACTTTGGGGATAGGTATTTCGGCACGGAACCTTCCGACGAATGTTGATTAATATTAATAATCTCTTATTGTACTTATACGATTTACTTAACTTTAAGTACCTTTTATTTCATTTGTTTTGTGATAATTCGATTCGTGGATTCTTGTTAAATTTATTTCATAATTTAGGCCTCTAGTCTACGATTTGTTTAGGTTTATTGTGTCAGCGTTCAGCAAAACTCATTTTGAACACTGAGTATTAATATTAAGTTCCTGTCTACAATATTATATAACTTTTTTTCAATTCATTTCAAAGTATTACCACTCTTTAATTCGCAAAAGTCATATTTAACTAAATATATTGGAAGCAAATTATATTATGTTAAAATGATTCTGTTAGGAAATATAAGTGAGAAACAAAAATTATACACGCCTGGATATTATTTCAACGGCGCTTCTATGTAACGAGTGAGAACTGCAGACCAATGTTCCGATCGTGAAGCGTTCGTGTTCAAATTGGTGTTGGTTTCCTGAAACTTCTTGCAAAGCTCTTCGCAATCTTCAAACGATGCGTCGGATCCTGTGAACTTCGCGCCCCAACCGGACGCGAAACTTAAATATCGCATCTGAAAATAAATTATTTATTGGTTATTGCTATTTTTTATTATTTCCAAAAAAAAATAATATTTACCTGAATGTTTTTGTTAATCTGAACATCGTTGACAAGTTTTACGGCTAAACGTAATGCTTTAGCGAACGAATCAATTGAAGTTACAAAAGCAACAGCTAAGTCCTTTGCTTCGAAATACGCGTTGTGATTGGGTAAGTAAAAAGTCAGTCCGCCTGGAGCCACACCCCCGCTCTCTATGACAGTTCTTAAAAGCAATGAAGCTTTGGTAACGTCCATTAGGTCATTATTTTTAATATCAATACAACCGACGGATCCGTAACTAGAACATAAATGTTTATGTACACAATATTAATTGAACTGTATATTTTATAGATTTACGCATTGGCCATGAAAAAATCATGTCCTGCTTTAACGTTAACTTTGAAATAACGATCGTAGTTGTAGTGCTTCAGAAGTGCCAAGTTGCTGTACAAATCGAAATTATATCGATTCTTCTGCAAGTTTTCGTGATTGGTTTGAATCAAAAGTTGGCCCCTGTAACCGATTCTATCTCTCTGCTCGACGATCATCTTCAGGAATCTGGAATAATGTTTCATTTCCTTTGCCAAATCGGTATTTATAATGCTTTCATAGCCTTCCTGTTCTCCGTTAAATAAAAAGCATTCCGCATTGAGTTTATGCGCAACGTCCAAAGCTTTTTTTACTTGATAACCAGCGTAAGTAACAATATTTGCATCGGTGCTAGTTGCAGCTCCATTTTTATACCTTCAATAAATCGTGAAATATTTTTTATAATTTTAACATAATCATCTTTTTACCTGCTGTGCGTTTTCAAATCCACTCCAATCCATAACGGTTTGACTCCAGTTTTCTGTTGATACTCGTTGATAAGGTCAACCATTTGATCGAAATTGCTCTGATTCTCATCGAAATTATCTCCCTCTGGTGCAATGTTCTTATCGTAACCCGACCAATACTTGATTCCCAATTTAATGCATAATTCAAACATGGCTCTAATGCTCTTTTTGTAGCTATCCAGGCTTGTTCCATCTTCACACCAGGGCCGTTGAACTAAGCCTGGAGTGAAAGCTTGTCCCAAGAACACGCTGGGTCTAAGCCACTCTTCCATCGGTCTCCCATGGATGCGTTCAGAAGCATTATAATAACGATAATACAAATTTTCTTCGATGTTATAAGAAGCATCTGATTTATACTCGACACGACCTATTCCTAAAAATTTTAAAATTTTTATTTTAAATAATTTTAGTCAAAATGATATTACCATGAAAATTTTCAGAGCTACTTTCAGCACTTCTTGTAGCTTCTCTTGTGGTTTTTTGTCTTTTGATGGAACCCGGAGCGTACATTATTACAAACTAACTTGAAAGCATCTTAGTGCGTCTTTTATATAAAATATTAACCAAAAGTATCAAATTAATCCGGAAACGCGATATCTCTTTATGGTAGAAGTAAAACACACAATAGCATGTAAATTTATATTTTAATATGATATAAATTTAAGTCTTATAACAGCAACCATATCAATCTAATTAGTATAGAAACTAAAACTACTATAACGACATAATGCATACGCATGTCAGTATCTTCATTATTCGAATCAATTTTTTGCACGCCAGAAACTTGTCCTTTCTCCAATGGTTTTACCAAACCGGGCATCACGACTTCATCGACGGGTTCTCCCAGCATCGAGAACTTCGTAGCTTCTACAATTTTCACCGTAACCAGTTTTCCCATGAATTCCTTGTCCATCGGTAACAAAACCTGCTCGTAGAATTTATTATGTCCAACATAATGTTTCTTATCATGAGAAATTTCGGTAACCAAGACTTCCTGAGTTTCTCCAACTTTATGTCCATATGGTTCGTAGGTATAGAACAAATCGGTCAATGCCTTTGTGCGTGTTTTCACTTCATTCGCCGGGATTCTTGGCAGAAGCGCTGCTGGTGTACCTGGTCTTGGAAAGTATTGATTTATAAACAAACTCGGGAACTTGTATTTTGCGCATAGGGACATAGTATCTTCAAAATCTTTGTCAGTTTCAGTTGGGAATCCACAAATTATATCGGTTGCTATCGTCATCCCTTCAATCCTAAAACCAATTAGATTTAGTTATGAATATTAAATAATCTTAAAGAAGCATACCTATCTTGCAAGAAGTTAACTACATGCTCAAAGTCTTCTCTGCAATATTCTCTTTTCATATCTCCTAAGACAGAATCACTTCCTGATTGTACTGGAACATGTAAGAAGCTATACACCCTGGGGTGTGCCAAAATTTTAGCCATTTCCTCTAAATGTTCCAAAATGTAAGGTGGATTAGTCATACCCAATCTTAATCTACAGCCTTCTGGAATAACTTCAACCAGTTTCCAAAGTAGGTCAGGTAAACTAGTACCAATATCTCTACCATATGTGCCAGTATCTTCAGAAGTTAACCAAATTTCTACAACACCATCTTGTGTAAAAGCTTGCTCAGCCCTAGCTACAATCTCTTCAGGTGGGTAACTACCCAAATCACCCCTAGCATGTTTGGTTTTACAATAGGTGCACTGATTCAAACAACCAGTATTTATAGCAATGATCTCAATGAGAGGATTCCTTCTGACCTTTGGTAGTAACAAAGAAGCACCTCCAATTTTTTTACCATTTGCTTTTTTGGTCCCCATCAACTTGACTGTATTGCCTTTAAGTGTTTCCTCAACAACTTCTACAACTCTGTCAATTTGTTGCACACCAATTATGCTCAACCCCTGCAAGAATGTAGATTTTGGAGCACCTTGTGGTACACATCCAGCTAAGACTACATGCTTTCCTTTCTTCTTAGCAGATTCAATTTCATTCCTGAAATGATCCTCAGCTGGATTCTTAACAGTACAACTGTTCAATAACCACAAATCTGCTTGATCCTTCTCCTGAGTCAATTTATAACCATAAGATGCTAATTGTCCAGCCATATATTCTGAATCTGAACTGTTATGAGCGCATCCCCAAGTCTTAACATAAACTGTCTGTGTTCCAGGTACATCTCCAACAATTGGTGGTGCATTGACTTCATTTTCTGTCCTCTTTTTTGCTTTAACTTTTACTGCCTTTCTGTTACTGTATCTCTCCTTTGGTGTTATATCTTGAGCAGATATAAGATCTTCAATATCATCTATAATCTCGTTACATGCCATTCTAATAAGCTTATTGCACTATAACCTAAAAACAATCGAAATACAAATAATATGATTATCTTTGAATTATAGTATAGTAGTTTAGTTATATTTATGATAATTAATGAAAATACTTACTTTTAATAGCTTTAAGTATTTTGATTTGCGAATATATTCAAAATATATAAGCACATGCATCAAAACAAAGTCATATTTATCATATTTATGTTGGTAATAAATAGTAATGTTTAGAATTTATTTTTTAATTCACGAATGTTAATAATAATAATATCTTTAATATTAATGACAGAACTAATATAATCTTTGTTTAAGTAATATTCTTGAATATTAATCTTAAAATGAATATATATAAAATAATGATCAAAGAAATCATGCTTTTAAGTTTACTATATTGGCAATGCTGGTTTTATAGAATATCCGGCTAAATGTTTGGACGTCTTGTTGGATCACTTCCTTTTCATTTTCTGATCATCTTTCGTTAGGTAAGCATCGTTTCTTGATCTATAAATATTTTTGCAATCTTATTTCTTTTTCTTATTTTGGAAATGATTTCTCAAAGATGTAAAATTAAATTCTCTAAATATTAAATTATTTTTTGTAACTATCATTTATAACATTGATATTTATAATGATGAGTTCTTAGTCTCGTTCGTATGATTTTTAATGATTATACTTATTCGGAATAAACTGAATAAACAATACTACGTAATTTTCAATATTTTGTTATATAACAATTAGTAATGTTTATATTTTCATTGCAGATGAGAATGCTAGTCATCATGACGAATAAATTGACTTGCTCGCATCCAATACTTCCTGAAATCGGTTGAACATGCTTTGGACAAATTGAATGAACAAGTAATTTTTTTTTAATCATTTTTAATTTCTAAACCACCCTAACCGCCACGCTCAAATAGACCCTTAATTTCTATTTCGAGTGCCAAAACATGTTTTGATATGTAGGGTAGATTGAATTTCCAAATAGGAAGCAGATGTGTTTCTATAATGCATCTGTGCTGATAAATTGGATACAATCATCTTAAAAAATAATACCATTCTCTAAATTTATGTTATTGGATGTGTTTCTAATATGATACTATTTTTTCAGATTTTTTTACCAAAATGAAAGATGGTCCAGACAACGTTTTTCTTGTGATCTTATTACAAGGTATGTGTTCTCATTTTTATTAAATCTTTTGTATTATTCCTGGAAGCCACGCTCAAATAGTTACTTATTGCTATTTAGAGTGCCAAATCTATATGTACAGGAAGATTAATATTCCAAATAGGAAGCAGATGTGTTTTATTTAATGATGCATCTGTGCTGAAAAGTTGGATACATTTATTTCTATATAAAATATAAATTTAGTGTGCACATGAGATGAGATTATTAACATTCTTATTTATTTTATAGAAACTGCTCCAAACCAAATGCTGAAATTGAATCCATTGTTCCTAATGACTTAACGGTAAGAATACTTTATATAATTGATATTTTAATATACATTCCTGGAAGCCACGCTCAAATAGTTATTTATTGCTATTTAGAGTGCCAAATCTAAATATGTACAGGAAGATTAATATTCCAAATAGGAAGCAGATGTGTATATTTTATTATGCCTCTGTGCTGAAATTTTGGATACAATTACAAAATCTTCACTAATACTAAGATTTTAAATCATTTGGACATCAAATAATTTCGTACTTATTCTTTCAGATGAGAAAACAAGCAAATCCACTATCACCATCATTCACAGATAAGATGAATATTTAGGTAACTATCTATATTTTTTTTTTGTATTCCTGGAAGCCACGCTCAAATAGTCACTTATTGCTATTTAGAGTGCCAAATCTAAATATGTACAGGAAGATTAATGTTCCAAATAGGAAGCAGATGTGTACATTTTATTATGCCTCTGTGCTGAAATTTTGGATACAATTACAAAATCTATACTAATACTATGATTTATAATCATTTGGACAACAAATAATTTCATACTTATTCTTTCAGATGAAAACCAGGCCAATCCACTATTATCATCCATATCCAATATCATGAATATTTAGGTAACTATCTATTTTATTATTATTTTTTGTATTCCTGGAAGCCACGCTCAAATGGATCTATATTTCTATTTAGAGTGCCAAATTTTATTTGCAACAGGAAGATTAAATTTCCAAAATAGGAAGCGGATGTTATTATATATTTCATTCGTGCAGATACGTTGGATACAATATTTCTAAAATACTATTTCATATTCATTTCTATTTATTTTAAATACTCTACTAATATTATGATTTTCTTTATAGATTCAGTTCAAAAATGATGAGATATCACTGGATGGTTTCAGGATTTTCAAGTAACATCAAAGTAAGTTCATATATCTTATTTAAAAATTTATTATTGTTTTGGAATGATGAACAAAACGAGCATATGTCTGAACATATTTTGTTGATTTTATTAGCTGACAATTTTTTAAATTATAATATAATGTTTGATTTAAATATTTTTTTACTAATTTGGTTTTTTTTATTGCAGTTATTCAATGGTTTTTAATGTTCATGTTCCTAAGTGATCAACTATATTGAATGGTAAATATGAGTTTATTTGAAACAGTTATTACATTTATTAAATGATGAACAAAACGAGCATATGTCTGAACATATTTTGTTGATTTTATTAACTGACAACTTCTTAAATTATAATAGAATATTGTTTGATTTGAATATTTTTACTAATTTCTTTTTTTTTATTGCAGTTACTCAATGATGTTTAATGTTCATGTTCCTAAGTGATCTACAATATTAAATGGTAAATATGAGTTTATTTGAAATTGTTACATTTTTTGTAAATGATGAACAAAACGAGCATATGTCTGAACATATTTTGTTGATTTTATTATCTGAATTTAACAATTACTTCAAATACTGATAACAATAGTATGAATATTTTTCTAATTACTACTTTCTTATTACAGGAATTACATTAGAATATTGAAGAAGAAGCTTGTCAAATCTTGATTATGAACATTTATTTCATGGTAAGTTAATATACAATTTTTAATATAAAAACACATTCATTTGTTAATGATGAACAAAACGAGCATATGTCTGAACATTTTTTGTTGATTTTATTAAACTGACTTTACAAGTTAATTTAATTGAAAGTTATACTTTTTATTTTCAATTTTTTAATAAATTTATTTTATTACAGGTTTATTCTCTGGAGGCACAATCCGATATAGTTTGAAAAATTACATTTCCTATGTAATCGTCGTTACATAATGTTTCAAGGTAATTATCCAAAATTGAAATAAGTTTGTTTTTCAAAAGTTTTCATGTTTTCAATGATGATATTAATTACCGTCTGATAAAATTAATGATTATAATTATCGGCTGCATTTTTATGCACTGAGTTTTACAAATAAAAACAAATTAATTAAATTTATATATTTTGTGCAATACTAACGTTCTTATTTGTATTTCAGTGGGGAACAACGTTTAATTGAGCAGTACTCCAACCAAGTTATAAGGAAACAACTTAGGTAAATATATTTTTTAAGAAAGTCTGATTTTTATTGCTTATTGAATCAAAAAAATTGAAATGATGAATCTTTAACAGTTATCCCTGTCTTACATAACCATGGTGATAAAATGTTATGTGGTAATTACTGAAGCAATAACTAAACAGACTAATTTTTTATATTAATTTGTTCCATTTATTAATTAGTATATTTATTGTTTCAGGATATTATTGAGGATGAAGAATACCATCTATTAGTATTGCTTGGACAAACCTACATTTTTAATAGGTAAATACTTTTATATTATTATTTGAAATTGTTTAATTAAAAAAAATACATTTAATTATTTATAACAGATTAAAAATAGTATAGATTCAATGATGATATTAATTACCGTCTGATAAAATAACATGATTATAATTATCGGCTGCATTTAATGCACTGATTCCAATTACAATTTAAACTATTATTTCTTCCTGTTAATATACGTATTAATTTTCAATTTTTTTACTTTCAGAATCTGAATCCACTGTTATGTATGAAACGTCCTTTTATTACTACTGAGTAACCAACATTTTACAATAACTTGAAAAGTAAGTTTCTTTAATTTATTAAGCAATTAGAAATAAGTTAAAATGATGAATTATAACAGTTATCCCTGTCTTACATATACATGGTGATTTTGTTTTGTGGTATTTTCTGAAGATTAAACATCTCATATAAATTTATTATATATTGTTGTATGTTCCAATATTTATTTTGTTTTTACTTGTTGCAGGATACAAGGATGGAAGTAACCAACAATTATTCAGATGACATTTTAAAATTAATATTGTAAACAAAAAATACATATACAATGGCTATTGACTGCAGTTTTTCAGCCCCATAAAATTTTAATAAATTTTTATTGTCTTATTACATTTGCTACTTATTTGATAAAATCCCATTGAAAATTACAAATAGAGATCTTTTGAATTTACTTCTATTATCTATTATGAATATTCAATATACTGCTAAATTACAACGTGGACATGTAATATAACATTAAAATAATTCGCAATAATTATGTACTTTGTTCGAAATTTTTAATCTTTTTAATTAGTCTTTAGTGGACTTAATATGGTAAAATTTTTAATTGTTAACATATTCATAAAAAAGTTTGTATGGTTTAATCTTAACCAGCATATAAATATACAAATAATCGAAAGCAGTATTTCTCAAACTACCCTCTTGCTCTTCTGGGGTCCGAAGAAGGAGGGTATATGAAAAAACATTTTGTCGTCAATTTTTTTTTATTTCAAGTTTTGTTAGTAATACCATAAAGTTCTCCCTGAGATAGATCAATATATTGACTTGGGACTCCGCGGAAAAATCTGACATTAAAGGCGCCGCAAGTCGAAAAAGTTTGGTATTGATGCCCAAGTGTTTTAAAGATTATTCAATATTCTCTTCGTTATCCATTTGTTAAGTCTTAAATTATGGTATACCTATGTAATTATTGTAACCATTGCGGTCATAAACAATAGAAACAACTTATTTTTGAATAAACACAATTAACCTAAACTTTTTTTTGTCGTGTATCTCACAACTGGATGTTGAAGATCGTCCAAGACTTACAAATCCGGAAGTGCATAGTGTTACCTCTGGTACCGGAAAACCGGAGTTAGATGAGATATATTTATAAATATCATTATACAAGCATCTATACTTGTGTCATCTATAAATACTACTGAGTGGAATCGAGATGCCTTAATTTAAATTTTGAAAAATTAGTTTTAGTAAGTTGGTAACTGCCAACATTCAAATGTCATTTTGACAGATCTCGGATTTGACAGTTTGGGTATGCTGCTTTTATCCATGTGGAAATAACAATTTTTAATAAATGAAATAATTTTAGTGTCCTAACAATATCAAAAAGTTGTCTTACCAAGATGCCACCAAAAAAGACGTCAGCTCCGAGCAAAAAGACGGAACAGAAAAAGAAGGAGAAAGTGATTGAGGTAATAACCTATAAAATAAAATAGACCATATTAATATTATTATTAATAATGTTGTAATGTGTAGGACAAAACTTTCGGGTTAAAAAACAAAAAAGGGGCCAAACAGCAGAAGTTTATTCAGCAAGTAGAGAAACAAGTTAAAACTGGAGGCCACCATCCACTGGGTACAGATGCTAAGAAATTGGAAAAGGACAAGAAGTTGAAGGAGCAGAAGGAGTTGGCTATGCTCTTTAAGCCTGTGCAAGGACAGAAAATTGAAAAGGGTGCTGATCCAAAATCCATTGTCTGTGCATTCTTCAAGCAAGGCCAATGTACTAAAGGTGATAAATGTAAATTTTCCCATGATTTGACTATTGAAAGGAAGGCTGAAAAGCGTTCCATGTATTTCGATATGAGAGATGATGATGAGAAAAATGAAACTATGGAAAATTGGGATGAAGCTAAGCTGAAGGAAGTCATTGAGAAGAAGCATGGGAAAGATAAGAAGATGCCAACTACAGATATTGTTAGTACATAATTTTCACTTGAATTATTCAAATTCATTAAGCATAATATGTTTTAGATCTGTAAACATTTCTTGGAAGCTGTTGAAAAATCAAAATATGGCTGGTTCTGGACATGTCCATCTGGTGGTAATTGTTTTTACAGACATGCTTTACCTGCTGGTTTTGTTTTGAAGAAAGACAAAAAGAAGGATGACAAGAAGAGTGACATTTCTTTAGAAGATTTGATTGAAAAGGAAAGGGCTGCTCTGGGGGTTAACCAAACCAAGATCACTTTAATAACCTTCATTGCATGGAAGAAAAGGAAAATTCAGGTATGGTTTCTGTCTTAATACAAGTATATTTTTTATATCTGTATATAAATAATAGGAAAAGAAAGATGCTGCTATCAAAGATGAGGAAAAGAAGAGGAGTGATTACAAGGCTGGCAGACAAGTTGGTCTATCTGGTAGGGAAATGTTCAGTTTCAACCCAGAGTTGGCAGCAGACAATGACATGGAGGATGGTGATGAAGCCTTTGATGATTATGCATATGCTGATGAAGATGGAGACCAAATTGAATACAAAGAATTGCAACTTGATTTAATGGAAATGGAAGCAACAGAAGTAAGTCTAAAAATTAATGTTATTCTCATTTTATAATAATATTTTTTTTAAGGTGGATGGTTCTGGAACCCTGGCTGCAGAAGACAGATTGAAAGCTGAGATTCCTCCAGAACAGACAAATGGTTCAGTGGATGAAGCAGCTGCAGCAGTACCTATTAATGAGAACCTCTTCCTGGAAGAAGATTTAGATGCCCTTGATGATGAATTAAATGATTTAGATCTGGAAGAATAGAACTGGATCTTGCCTTCCAGATCCATCGGATTTAAGTTTTTGTTTTTTTACATATTCAAGTAATTTTCTCTTAAATAGGCTCAAAAAATTAATTAAAAAAAAAAATATATACATACATTTTATTAGCATACAAATTTGAAAGTCTCCCACATTCTATCAAACTCTTCTTGGTAACTTTCAATCATCTGAGCATTGTTGGTTGTGATGGTATTATCCCAATTCCCAAGGAAGCCTTTGATGGTATGATTTAAAGATCCAAACATAAGCTGCTTATTATTTGGATTGTCTGCATCAATTATCATGAATTTGTGATGCATCAAACTCTGATGAGTATTCTGCACTTTAGCTGGAATACCTAATAATCAATTTAAATTATTAACCATAGAAGGAAATATATTAAGACTGTTCAAACCTGTCTTGTGCAGTCGCATTATCTTTGAACTGGAACATTCCATCATAATTATATCACTTATACATCTCACCTTTACACCTCGATTTTTAGCTTTTATTAGAGCTGTTGAAATTTCTTCAAGTGTAAGATGGTACATGCATATTGAAATTGTTTCTTTTGCCTGTTTTATCAGATTTAAAACATGTCTTAAATATTTGTAAGAACATTCTTGCCCACATTGGTTTTTTCTTCTTATATGAGATGCACAAGTGCGATTTTTGGATGTTATGAACATGCACTCGTAATTATAGCTATCTTCCACTTTCAACTTCTCTGTTAGTTTTCTATATTTATAATTATTATAAAGTATTATAGCAACCGGAAAACCGGCGAAAAGTAAAGACAATTCTTTAAACATTTTTAGCAGAATTGCCAACTACTGTTTATTAGTTTTATTTTCTAATGTTACCAATGGAGTGAACTGAAGCTAGCTACTAGTAGTGACGCAGACGCTAAAGTAGTTAATAGTTATAAAAATTATTAAAAAAAATCAGCTGTAGCTTGGCTTGGGGAGGCTGGGAGGCGACAGGAAGCTCTCATTACACTTATGGTAATTAATTTTCATTAAACACAAATTGCTTTCAATTAAATAGGATGTGGGGAAACAGAGAATGGGCATCAAGCGAAACTCCGCTTCATATCCGCCGCAAACTCTAATAGTTTTTGTTGTGTGTTTGCAGGATTCCGTAAAACGATAAACTAAACAAATCTAATCTAAGATGGATCTGGCGGAAACGATGAAAAATGTGCTCGCTAAAGGCATTCAGCAAACTTCTGTCAGTGAGCTACCATCCTCTACAAACATGGGCTTCCCAGGCCAAAGTTATGTGACTGAAAAAATTTACATGCTGCTACAGCTCTATCTGCAGAACAAGGGATGGAATCCCTCTGTAGAATTATTGCAATGCTTTACGGAACTTAAGGAATCTTCAATGTTGCCAAGTGCTGCCTATTTACAGTAAGTCCATTTTTAGATTGTTGAAAGCATTGTATGGAATATATCATGATGAATTCCGAGAGTGAGGACTTGAGAGCCACTTTATTGTTGGCTTTCGTTCTATGATTTATAGAAGCTTTGATCTTATCTGACTTAAATAGAATTAACCTATATTTTTCTGGCAAATTCTTATAAGATGTTTATAGGATTTTTTTATGTTTTCAGAATGATGGCAAGTCGTGTGGCTTTAGATTCACAAGGTAGATTGATTTTAAGAGAAAATGGAAAAATTATTCTACCCTTTGAGCACTTTGCTAATGCTGTTATGTTGAAGCACATGAATGGACCACATGGTTTGCATCTGGGGATTGAAGCTACTGTCAGAGCTGTGAGTATAATAATCAAAATAAAATGATATAGTATTTATGTAATTTTTGTATTTGATTAAAAAATTTCAATGGTATCATTAAGAAACTTATTTAACAAAATTAATTTCTTACTGGTGGAAAAAAATATATAATTTATTGGGTAAACTAATAAGATTTAAACCTGCAAAGAGAGAAAAAGAAAATATAGATTGATAACCAAAAATATGCTCAGAATATGTCTATGTATATTTAAAGATTTATCATTTACAACTTGTACTAATTTTCAAATAAATAAAATTATCTCATATTTGAGATATAAAAACTTTGTATTTTTGAATAAACTCTTTTGGAATTTGGATGTTAAAAATTTACAATATTTATGTTGCAGGTGATGGATTCATATACAATTGGACGTGAGCAATTTGGAATGGAAAAGGAATTCATTATAGAAGTTGTTCAGAATTGCCCGAATCCAGCGTGTCGTTTTTACAAGAATCAAATGGAACTTACGCAGAAAACCTTTCAACATCTAGCAAATCCAAACTTCATACCAGAATCTCAAGCTAACAATTCAGATATTAGGAACAGCAATTTCAACGCTGAATTTCCAATTCCCATTCCGCCAAATATAAATTCGCACATTGGATTGAACGCTGTGGACTTAACCGGTCAGAACAATCTCGAAGGTAAAAGCAGTCAACCTATGTTGGATAGACCCAAGTCCGTAGCACCGAGTCAGCAACAAATAACAGCTGCTTTAATACAGCAACAGAACCGAGTAATTGCACAACAAAACATAGAGAAGCTCAATGCAAATTTGGAAAAGCAAAGACAGCAGTTGCAGTTGCAACAGCAACTGGATATGGCTAAAGGACAGCAAAAGCATTTCGAAATGCCACTAGAACATAAAATAACGGATTTTTTAAGAGCGAATTTGGACAGTTTAGAAGGCTTGTCTTCGTCGAATAAAGACTTGTTGGCTTTGCATAATGGCGCGTGGGCGAACAACGGGGGTCCGACTGAGGATAAGAGGAATTCAGAAGGAGGACAGGAAAAGATCGTCAGAGCTTTCGGTGAAGTCATGAAGAATATGGCACGCATGAAAACTTACGTCCGACCGGCCATGTGCAAACCGTACGGAAAGCAGTCTGAAGCTTTACAAAAGAGTAATTTTAATAAATTATTGCGATTGGAGCGATTTCATTATCGTTTTTTTTGTGTTTCAGCGTTAATGGACACTATCCAATTAATACAGTCGCTGCGAAGCTTCTTGCCACCTCCTCATATACAAGTTAGTTCCTGGAAAAACGAAGACAAGCATCGCTATGAGGAAACTTAAGTATTATTTTCAGTTTATTCGCCGCTTAATCCTTTTGAAGGATTTAAAAATTTTAATTTATTTTATAGTTTTTCTTCTTAAGAGGAAAAAAAAATGATGAAGAGAAAACGAAACTAATTTTCATTTTAGTTTGTGATAAAATTGTACTTATTTGATTTTTTTGGTTTTCGAATTTCCTATTAGTTAAGGAAAGGTGTCGATGATGACTAAAGAGAATGAAAATTTAAAGTAAGGCCAGATTTGTTTCGCTATCAAAATTTCTAGTCAAAAGAAAATCCGGAATTTGTGCAAACTGTGATATATATTTTATTGGCCAAACTTTGGTAAAGAAATTTCAGTATTTAATTTTATTATTATTATACCTATTAATTTTTAAATTTAAACGATGCTCTCTATAATTGACATATCACCGAAGTTTTAAGTTCATGAATCTGAGCCAGTGTATAAGACTGTTTTTTTTTGTTTGTTCGGAGAGAGGATAACTTTGTATTCTTTTATATATGTACATGTAATATATATATTCAGAAAACACAACTTTAATTTTAAATAGTTGAAGTAGTTTCGTAAAGTAAGATTTAATGGCTATAAAGGTATTAGTAATCTCGTATATTCTTGCCTCCCCAAGAAGAAAATGTTATATTTAAGCTTTTTTTTACAATGACAATATTGTTTTTCTTTCTTTTATAGCTTTATATTTTCTTTCCGTTCTGAATGTGATGCGTATTGTTTTCTTACTACCTTTAAGCTTCTGTGCAATTTAATTATAATGATGATGAATATTATTAATAATAAAAAGAAAATGTGTACTTGGTACGAAATGGAATTTAAACTATTCGATTTATTTCATATTTCGTGTAACCGTCCCCTATCTCCCTTTTCCCTTGATATGCTTTTTGGTAGTTGGGCGTTAGGAGGGTTGGAAAATGCAATCACGGGATGTTTGGAATAGCGGCGCGAGTCAGTAATGAAATTCCTCACTCTCGGGATCCAATAAAGTGCAAGCGGCCGTAAGAAACAACATCCAGTAGGTCCTTTCGATCCTTGTATTACAAATATTCATTAGGTCTTCTTCACCCTCGTATGTCGCACGAATACAAGGGGGATGTTATCACCCTCGCGTTTAATAAAAGCCGGTCTAATGAATCGGCTACGGCCTTGTTAATTTGATTGGCGTTCCATCCGTCACGGACGCTTCACAGCACTATTGGGAAATCACACCATGCAACGGTTCTTCATCCGCTTTCATACTTTATTTTGTCATAATATTCGCAAAAAAATGTATATATTTCAATATTTAGGCGATGTAAATTATTATATTTTTTTGATATGGTGTAATGGTTCCATATTCACAATTTTGTTGATTTTATGATTATTATTGACACACATTTCGTGTTATTAATATTATTTTTAAAGAAATTACTTTATTAAATAAGTAAATTCTCAAGACAAATTGTTAGAAAATTTTGAAATAATTTAAACTAACGGTAAATCTTAAATTTTATAAAAACAAAAACAATGAAAACTTGAATTATTGCAATTGTATGTTAATGTTTTATTTTGAAATTGAAACTTTGAATGAATTTGAATTTGTTGTAGTTAGTTTTATTTTATCTATAAATTAAAACAATCATAACTTTATTCATTAATGAAATTCATCTATAAACAATATAATGATTTTGATTATTATTAGTGATTAAAAAACATTCGTATTGATCTAAGTCTGATCTGTTTGTTGTATTAAAAAAAAATATTTCCAGTCGTATATTGCGAGTGTAAATCGGGTAATGTTTCAGATAAAATATGTCTAACTAGTTTTAATCATTCAAATTATTTCATTGAAGTTTTGAGCTAATTTCATCTTATTTAAAAAAAAATATACCTATTCATCTGGCTGTGAGTCTAGTAAAGTTACAATCAAAACTAACTAAACATTGTTAAATAAATAGAAATTAAAATTTGCTTTAAAATTATTCCACAAGTAATATGGAAAGTCACAGATTGGCCATCTGGTACTTTCGGCGAATGTCAGATGGGCCGATAGGGCGGAGGCGGATAATGGGCGATGTGTCTGCAAACCCCGCTCATTTCAATTGCCATTTGGTAATGTCCATAAATGTCTTGATTATTATAATTCTTGATCCAACACAGTCGTCCCTTTTTTTGGACTTCAATTCTATCTCTCAACTCGCATCTGGAACTTTCATTTAAAATTGTAGTATTTGAATTAGAATAAAATGCACAACTGCTGTTAGTTTAACACTTGTTATGTATTATCATAACACATTTTAATTTATATATAAATTATTTTGTCCGATAAAAACAAATAATTTTCTAAGCTTATTTATTAATCAATTTATTGTTATATATGAACCTATTTTGTATTAGTTTCTAATAAAAAAGTGAGATTAATAGAATTTATATATATTGATTATGTTATAACTTTTATCGAGATTCTGATATTATAGTTATTATGATTAATAAATTCAATTACTTGTATGGATTAAAAAAAATTATACAGAAACAATGAAACAATTTTGTACAATGCTGTGTATAATTTAGGCTTTTATTAGCCAAGAAGCTAAGATCATTTCACCAATCTACTTTGATATATGCTTTGTCTTTATTTAATTTAAGCATGCAAATAACATAAAACGAATTTTTTCACCAATTAAATTGTTTTGTAGAATTCAATTAACTTTACCGAAAGTAAATGTACTTTTACATCAAAGTAAATTCTATAATTACATAATTTTGATCATTATAATCTATGTGATAGTTCTACGTTGTGGCCGTTCTGATGGACGAGTTTCATTGTATTTAACTGAAACGTTATATGAGATAATGTATTTGATTATAAATATCAAAATGTTTATTGTCAGGAAATCGTGCAGATTCTCAATGTGGAAACGGTAATTGGAGTTTTATAATTATGATCGTGACATGAGTAATTGGTCCTTGGTGCTTTATTATTAGCGGGGTGGGCCTTGATTGGAATAATGGGGCAGGTAAAAATGGAGTCACATCCGTGACAGAATTGAAGCATTTTTCGTTTGATTCGAATCAGTGGTCTGGAGAGCCTCTCGCACTCGTGTGTCGTCTGCATTGAGAATTTGTTGTAATTGCACCCCAACTTTTTGTTGTCGGCCAGGAAGGGAGAGAGGGCGTGTGAACGTTTATTCAACTTCACGCACCGCGGAGTGCCACGAAGAAAGTTCAAAGCCGTAATTGCGAACAATGAGGCTACGAATTCCGTTTTCCATTTTTTTCTCCTCCTCCTCCTCTCGTCATTGTTATTGTTGTTGGTATGGTATGTACATTTTTTTGTATCCGCTACGTTCGTCTATGTGGGAGGATCGAGTGAAAGTTTGATGTTTCGAAATTGATTTGCCGAACGAACGAACAAAAGTGTTGTTATTTTCCTGCGCTTTTTTCTGCTCTACTCTTTCTCTCACTGTGCGAGCTTTGTTTGTCTTCTTTGTATGTAGGTTAATGCGGTATGTAAAGGATTTATTAGAAAGGATTTAGTTAAGTCTACGTACACACAGTGATGAACGCACACACACCGGAAACGGTCAATCGGTTCAAAGATTGTCATCCGGGATTTGATTGGCCGGATTGCGCCAGATGGCTGACTACCGACAACTTCCCATCCACAAATTGTTTTAGTTCTTTTGTTTTCTTTTTTTAGAATAATTACGTCCACGTGTTGCCCATCATTACGAATTTTACATTGCAAATCCTTTCATCCGCTCTTACGTACTCACACACGTATATTTTAATATTTCGCGTTTTGCTGCCGTACAGACGCCAGCGTTTCCCATGACCTCTCGCAACAATAATAAATTGTTATTAACGTTAACCTCGGCTCAAGTTACTCGACACTTTTGAAATATTCTACCTTTTCGTGGCTCTTAATATATGCCATGCAAACATCTAGAAAAAAACAATTCCAACCTTACGGGTTTCAATCTGCATAATTACTTACTCGTTGTTTATTTCATTCAAACTTTAACTTTACAAACAAATGTCTTACTTTTTTTTAGGAACTTTAACTTATTTTAAGCCATTTTTGTAATATAATATTATAATAAGACATGATTGAATTTACATTATTGCAGTACATTATTGATAAATTTAGAATAAAAATTGATTTAGTTATCAAAAAGTTTATTATTTAATAAAATTGATAAGCATATATTTTGATAACAATGACAAAAGGATTTTTTGAGAGTTTTAACTTTTTTTTTAAAGTTTAGATGGATAAAGTGATTATACGAAATCTTAGGAAACTGTTTTATGTTTAATGTACATTAAGTTATGTAATTTATGATGCGATTCTTTATAAACTCCGAAGAAGGTAGAAATTTTCTTATGTGGAAAGTTTGTGCATATTGTTCTTAGGATTTCACATAGAATAATTATCTTATATTGTTTCGAAAATGAGAAAACTGTAACAAGTGCACTAAAGATGTGGAAGAACTTGAAAATAACTGAACATAAATATATTATAATAGAAAAAAAAATCGTTCTAAAAGAATTCTGATCTACGTGTAAGTCTATTAGTTTTCAAGATTTTCACGTTAATAATCAATAATATTCAAAAGATTAATTATATTTATTTGAGTTATATCGTTTTTTTTTTATCATAAATTGTAACAGCTTTTTCAGAAGTCTTAATTAAATAGTAATGTATTTCTTATAGAAATAAAACAAAACATAATAGAAAATTTATGTACACCTAAAACTATGTAAGTTATTTTTCAGTACTTAATACATTTACACATTCGAAAGCTATAAGTGATGATTAAGCGTTCCCACGGAATTCGACCTGGCTGGTTTTATTATATATTTGTTTATTTGAAAAAAGAATTCGGAGTATTTAAAGAGATTTCGTTGATGTGGAATATATACAGTGGAACCTCGCTTAACGAGAACCTCGTATAACGAGCATTTCTCTTAACTGCAAATGAATTGTAAGACAAATGACTCGCTAAACGAGAGACGTTTCGCATTACGAGTGACGATGAGAAGAGAAGTCCCGGATTGCGCGCCTGCTACATCATTTTTAAAACTTGTGTACACATATTATGTGTATTTTTGAATATGTTTCACTATACGAGATAAAATCCGGAAATTTTGGAACGGATTAAACTCGTTAAGCTGTCTTGTTGGAATCAATAGATTTTCAATAGCTGCAAAGTTAAATATTATAATTTATTTGTTTTAATAATGTTATTTGAGACTCATGAGTATATGAGAGAAATCTTATGTAAAAATACAGTTTATTTCCTACTTGATTTCTTTAATGGACAAATATAATAGTGACAATAAAAAAAAATAAAAGTCGTCGCATTAATGTCAGCAATTCGTATGTATTCCGCTTACTAATCTGTTTTTGTGTATTTAATGCGTTTTATTGCAGTCAGAAGTAATTACATTAATATGTTTGTGGGCCAATGTATGAAAATAAAAACTTCCATTTGGCCTCGGGCGTTTTAAAACCGTTCACAAGAGTTAACGTTAAATGCATACTGCGGAGATCTTATTTTGCCACCCGAACCCGAACACAAGATAATGATGACATTTCTGACAAAAATATGATATTCTTTATTACGGGGAGTGAAACATATTT